GCGCGCGGCCAGCTGCCCTGGGAGCGCGGCCACGAGCCCGGCCACGAGCGCGGCCAGGAGCACCGCGCCGCCACACAGGTAAGTGCACCTCGGGGCCCGGGCAGGGTGCGCGCCCCCGGGCCTGGGATATCCCGTTCGAGAGCTCCTTGCGGTGGGTGGGATGCTCATGAGAGAACTTATCGCTAGCGAGGAGAAGGTTGCCTGTGAATTTTGGAGGGCCCCGCAGGGCACTTCTGTGTCTAAGGGCAGTGAACGGCATCAGACCGTGCCTGGCAGAATGCTGAGGAGGGGCAGCTGTTGGGGCTTAGGTTCATATACTTGTGTTTGAGATACCCKGCAGGCGGCAAAGAACAGGCAAAGAAAGGGCATTTTGACCCTCCCGGGTACAGGCCGGAGCGGCCGAACGCGGCGCCCTGGCGCGCGCAGGTAGCGCTGCTCGGCCGCGCGCCTCCGAGCCGCGGGTGAGCCTGTGTGCCGGGGCTTGAGCTCCGGGGCACCGCAGCTCCCGCAGGGACGCGGCGCCGGCCGAGGCAGCGCATGGAGCCCCGCCGAGCTTCCGTGTCCCTGTTTCTGCCCACACCAGCACCGTGAGCACCAGCGGCCTCTGAAAAACGGCTCAGGTCGTGAACCTCGTCAGTGGTTGTGCTGCCTGACGGCTGCTTGGTGCGTTTAACACCTCCGGCAGAGGTGGACTGAACTGCACAGGTAGTTCAGTCTAGCAGAGCTTGCTTCCTAGCGAAGGAATCTAAGCAAGTGGCTCGTGCTGGAAAACGGGAACCTGTTTAGCGTTGATTTCCCCACTGCGATTATTTATTTATTCAGAATTTAATACTTGGTCATTTAGTAACTTGCTCATCAGCAGTGCTGTGTGTTCTTAGTCAGGGAGGCTTGGTTTTAACAAAGTCCCGTAGTAAGGGAGCGTCAATTAGTGCTTCTGCCCAGCAAAGGCCTTGGAAGCGTTTGTGCTTGTGCGCACATCGCGTCCTGTCCCTGGCTGGTGCGTTGTCTTCATCCAGCTGAGTTGGTTCCTAAGGTTGGTTCCTCAGAAGGTTCCTGAGAACCTTCTCCTTCTGAGCCAGGTGTCGGATGCCTGGGTACCGTTTTTGGTACCCAGAGCCAGGCTGCGGGCGGCAGGCACACGAGGAGCCTCTGTGTTTTCTTCCTGAAACAGCCTTTCGCTACTAGCCCAGGGCTCCCTACGTCAAACGTCAACCTGCCTGGAGGCGCTGCTGCTTCGGGCTGTCTCGTACCACGCAGCCTCTGCAGCGCCGGCACCTCCAGCAGCGGCTGGAAKCCTTGGAAGCCAGGGAGACTTCTGGTGGGAAAGGAAACGGGATGCGGCTCCCTGTGGGATGCGTCTCCCTGCGGGATGCGTCCGCTGCTGCCGCTCCCTGCGCACCCAGGTGGCAGGCGGAGCGGGATTCCCTTGGGTTATCCAGGGACAGCGCTGGAGCAGCCTCCCGGCCCGCACAGGAATTGTCCGCAGTCAGGGCAATCAGTAGAGCACAGAGGGCTTTTCTTCTCCCCAGCACCTCATTCAGGGTAACATGAATCGCTCGGGACTTAATTGGGTCATGGTGTCACTGGCTCTATCTCCATTTGCCAAATGGACGTTAAAGCAACAGGATGAGTATTGAGGCAGTTATCGGGTTGCTCTAGGTGGACAGTTTTGTTCCTGCGCCTTCACATCCTCATCGTTTACGTGATTCTACTGTTGCGTCTCTGGGCGTAGATTTAAAGCCCTGTGAGGCTGGGGACCACCTCTGATTTTATTTATTTATTTATTAAGTAAAGTATCCGGGTTTTGGTCCTGTTTCGTTACCTGAGTACAGGGAAACTGCTCCTGTCCTGGCGCGCTCGTCTGCGATGAACGCGGGCAAACTGTGTTTGTGCTCAGGATGCTCTCCTTGCTTGTGTGTGGCCTCGGCTTGGACAGTGCTGTTCTTGAAGACCTTCCTGATGAGCTGCGGTGTATAGTGCAGATACAGATCGCTGCATACATGGCTTTTCTCAATAAAGCCATTTACCTGGGGCCTCCGACAGCCGAGGGCAGGGGCAGTAGCTGCCCCCGGCACATCTTTGTGGCTGCTGCGCCTGTTGTGCAGATTTGGGTAACTGGTTGCTTGCAGAAACGTAAAAATTAATCATTAATTTGGACATTCCTTGGAGATGAATTTGTTTAAAAATTAACTTGTGGAGTCATTCTGTGGCTGAAAGAATGCATGAAACTAGATTAATGTTTAAAAATACTTTTTACTAATGTTTTTAGGAGCCTGCTGTACTGTGATTGTCCAAGGCCATGTCTAGACGCCGCTGATCTGATAAGGTGTGAGGTTAAACACGCATAAGTTAATATGTACTAACAATGCAGGGTAGATAAAGCACACTGCCTTTAGGGGCTGTTTGTCTTGGTGCAGCTAGTGCCTGTGCTGATGAATTGGTGATGGATGAAAGTTTCCTGTCGCTGCTGAAGCGCTTTGAGACGGGTTTGATGCCACGTCCACCTGCAGGCTTGAAGGTGTCAGCTGTGCTGGAGCCTTCGCCCGGAGGAGGAGTGAACAGCCTGATGGTGCGACACCGTCACCGCGAGCGCCCAGCCCGTACTGGGCCTGCTTGTCGCCGTTAGCTCTCTGCAAATTCAGCGTATAACGTTGTTGGAGTTTGCTGAAGTTAATGTTCTCTTCCCAGAGCCACCGGTGTGTGGGCGCTGCTCTCATTCCTTGCTTTAAGCCTTGCAAGATGTAAACAAGTCCAATCTGAATGGAGCCAGATCCTACCCCAAAATAAATATTTACTTCAKTTTTTTAAGGCTTGGTATGACCCTCCTAGTCCCTTGGGTGCTGGCTTTGCGCAAYTGGAGTTAACCTGCTGTAAGCAAACGTGTCGCATTCCCCAGCGGCTCCCCCGCGTCGCGCCCCGCTCAGGAGGCATCGCGGCGCGTGGCAGTGTGTGCCTTGGAAGCAGCCCCAGCCCGCCCGCCGCCCCKTAGCTCTGCGCTCCCACACTGCCGCTTCAGCTGAACTATCGAAAAAACGAGTTCAGTAAAAGCAATTTGCAGTTTGGGAGATATTTAAAGAAATATCTGAACTATAAGCATCGCTAGTTCCACGGAGCTCCTGGAAATGGAAGAGCAAACCTGTCGCACGCGTGAGCCTTCGCCTAACTGCATTATTGGTGCTGCACGCGGCCTTCCTGTGCCTGCTCATAGCTGCCTGTGAGTGTCTGCAGTGGTCTGGAAAAGGGGTTTCATTTTCCCCAGTGGATAAGCAGGATTGTGAGATGATGGAGGCAGCCCTGTACATGTGATAGAACCTGTTCTCTMATTGCAAGTGGAAATCTTTGGGGAAAGAGTCACAGTTTTCCAAGGCTGAGAGTATTTCAGGGTGCCACCTGTTTGTGCTGTGCTTGGTTGCCTCCCTGAGCAGATGGAGCTTCCATCCCTCCCGGGGCAGCCGCTTTGGTGCCCGGGACAGCGAGTGACCTGGGCAGGGAGTGACCTGGGCAGGGAGGGCTGTTCTGCTGGCCCAGTCGGTGTTTCTGGTGGGCAGGGATTCAAACTCAAGTTAAATGAAATCAAAGCCTTAGAGAATCGATCATCTGTGCTGGTGAAAAAGCTGACAGCTTGAGGTTTGTTTTCCTTTGACAGCCGCGCGTGTGCCTGTGCTAGTTAACGCGCGCCGCTGTGCTGTGCTGTGCTGTGCGGAGAGCAAAGCGGAGCGGTGCCCGGCTGCRGCCGGGGCTCGAGCCCAGCTGGGCGGTCGCTCCCCGCCGCGGAGCTCTCCCGTCCACGTGCTGCTGCGGCCGGCGGCAGRGCCAGCCCGGGAACAGCCTCCGGCGGGCTGGGAACGCGGGGCCGCAGCCTAGCGCCGCGTGCGGCCGGCTCCGCGTGGCTCTTGCACCGGGCGGGAATTTCTGCTGAGTTCCCAGGTTCGGGCCCCATCCTTAGGCTGCACCGAAATGGTCACTGGCCTTAAAATGCCTGTTTTTTAATAAGTAACTGCACTGTGTGTGTTTTGGGCCAGAAATCACAGAATCCTCTACTCRCACAACTGGTATACTGAATAAAGGAAGTTTTTTAGTCCTGACATAATGCAGTATTTCCAGTGCTGTTTGGACTTGCACTTTTGCCTCTGTGTGGAGCCTGCCCTATAAAAAAGGAGAACAGAGTTGATTTCTACAGCCTTGAGATGACCTAAATTGTTGATTTTAATAATTAATTGGAAAGCAAGCAACCTTTATTTAGAGCAGGATCCTTATTTTGTTAGGTATTTATATTTTGCAGAATTTGGCTTTAGTCTAATGGATTCTCATTCCAAGAGAGCACTCAGTTCTCTATTATGAAGTTAAAAAATACATTTTTTGGTGAGAGCTCTGAGTTTTTGAACTGCTCCCCTGTCTCTGCTGCAGCAACTGGCATTGGGTTTCAGGGCAGTGAGAGGCTTCGTGCCTTGTTTTATGCTTCTGAAACTTGGATTTTATGTTTTATTTCTGCAATGCTTGAAGAAGCAGATCTCGATCCTTCCAGCAGATCCACCGATTTTAGTATTAATTCTGATGCACTACAGTATGTGTAAGAATTAGTATAAGAAAGACTTATTTCGTATCTGCTGCTCTAGCTACGGGGTCATTTTGTCTGAGACACCATTCTGGGCAGTGCTGGGTCTAGATGACTGTGTTRCTTCTGTAATTTGGGGAATTTAAATTGGGGAATTGTAAAGAAAAGGGTTGAACGTTGTGTTCTCACAGTTTCGYGTTTCTTTATTTTCCTTTCTCTTAGAACTTTTTTCCACCCGATGACCTCCTTCAGTCTCCAAAGCTAAGACCCTCTCAAGGAATGCCAGTCAGTGACGAGTTATTCTTTAGTAGAAAAAGACCCTCAAGGAATTTATTTCAGAGCAGTGTAGATCTGAGCTCGGAACATTCTTCTCTTTGTGCTGGTGAGTACYAACAGGGAGAAGTTTTTGATGAAACAGGCAGTGTATGTCATTTATGAAATAGATGTAGAAGAACTTGAATGTAATTTTGTAGCTTAATGGACATGATTTATCATTTGTTGATTATTTCTTTTAATACTTATTTTCTTTTGCTATGAGTAATTGAGTGATGGGCCCAGGGCTTTGTCTCTGCTGAAGCAAGATGTGATAGTTTGTTCTTGCTGTTGGAGAAGTGCATAACCAATCCAAAACTGCAACCACAGTCCTCCAGTGCTGCTCTCCTCACGTGGGTGTTCAATAGCATAGATAGATCTAAGCGAGCTTGTAAATCATTGTGTTTGCAGGCAGCACCATGCTTCCCTAGTGCACCTAGTGCAACCTGGCCGTGCAGAGCACGACCAAAAGGAAATACTATATTCTTGGTTTCAATATTTTCTTTTCCGCTTTATGCAGTCTGTTAGGGTAGAAAGCTCTCTAAAGAGCAAGCTTTGAAGATTGCTTTGGGTTTTCAAAAGCAGTTCTATAAGGGACTGTAGGTTAGTTGTATGCTTAATTTATGCTACCAGTGCAGACTCAGTGATTTGTATCTTAATGCAAAAAGGCATGTGAAGAAAACGGGCAAGACCAGACTTGATTTATTCTGTGTGCTTGGCAGCACGCTGTGCCCTCTTCCTGGTTCAGGGAGCACTGCCATGTGCAGAATGCAAAGTTTAGTTACCATTAGGCTAGGAGTGACCTCATCCTGAAGAAACTTGCCGTTGTGGGGGATTTTGAGGTGATATCTCACCTTTATTGTCACATACTGGGGGTTTTTCTGGKTTTTTTTTTCTGTTTTTTTGGCCCCCTCCCCTCCCGGGAGTTGGAGCGAAGCCCTGGACGAACGGCCAGCCGCTGCTGAGCCTGTGCACAGTGTCCTGGGGTTGCTTAGAGACACTTGAATGCAGCATTAAAAACTTGCAGACCGCTTAGGTTCTACGTGGCAASTTAGAAAAGAAGTCTTAAATCACTATTAAATATTACTCTCTATTTTGTAACATATGTTAAGTATTTATATGTTATTTGTGTTTTCCTTTTGAAAGGTGCTATGGGCTCCCATCAGCCGCCTATTTCAGGGAAATGTGGACAACTTGGCCGCACACAGATGTACGGGAAGAGTGGTAGTGTGGACTCTGATTTACAGTTTTTAGGATTAGATAATGCTCAGCAAGAGAAAGGTACGTGATACATGTCTGTGTCAGATGACTTAAACCTTTGCTAAATGTCGTGTCCTGCCTGTACAGAAGTGGTCGTGTCTTGTGGCTGTTTTTCACTCCTGATTATTTAATTTGCAGCCCACACCTTTGCTCAGTATCTGGCTGCATCAGGGTAACATAATTTGAACTTTTTTTTTTTTTTAAATACAGTCGTTAAGGTATCACTGCCTTACGTAACCTAAGCCTACCTTAGGCTCATACTCGTGTCATCATGTGCAGGAAAAGTAAATTGATGAGTGATAGATAGTGCGGTTTGAAAAATGGCTTCATATCAGCTGATTTACTTTGATTTGTTGCTTGGCTGGGTGCTAACCTTCATTTCTAATTGTCCAGGGAGCGTCGTGTTTTGTGTGTGTGTTGTTGTTTATTTGTTTCTGTTTGTTGCTGTGCATCCTTGTCGTAGGAGTCGTCGGCGAGGCGGGTGACCCGAAGCGCTGCTCCCCCGTTGCTTGCTCAGGGCGCTGCAGCGTGCGCGTGCCCGGCGAGGCGGCGAGGGCGCCGTGCAGCGCGGCGGCCGCGCGGGGCTCGCCGGGCGCCTTGGCGCTGCCCTCGTGCGCGCCCGGCCGGCCGCGGGACACGGCCCGCAGCCTCTCGCTCTCGTGGCCGCTGCAGAGCTTCGAGGGGCTGCCCAGGCCCGGCCCGCAGAAGCAGCAGCCGGGAGGCAGCGCAGGTAGGAGCGCTGCGAGCCTGCCCTGCTGCGGAGGAAGGTGCACACCGCCATGTGTCATTCCTTSTGCCCGTTAAAAATGTACGATAAAGTAGAATATGGAACAGTACCATTTTCCTGTTGGTGATGTGTCGGTAAAGAGTCCACCATCAAGCTAAAATAAAAACAACCCCCAAAATCTGGGGCTTAAAAAGAAAGCCAGTAAAGAAAGACCCGTTAACTCCAGTACTTGGACTAATGTATATGTAAAAATTTTACTCATTGCATTTTGACTTTTCACTTTTTTATTTGCAATTGGAAAATTATGTATCAAATTACTGACTCTCAGAATAGCACTTTAAAATCTGGCTAAAAGCAGCTGCGTCTCTTAATGAGTGGAACCTATGCTAATTTCATCTCAGTTTACATTGACACTACTGTTCATGACCTGATTTTCTCTATCTTGAAAAAACCTCATTTGCGCTTAGCTAAATAGGTTCAAGTGTTTATTAAATGAAATCTTACTGGAGGTTAAAAGTAACTTTACTATCAATCTAGCACATAGGTAGTTCAAGCAAAGCAAGACTTTCCACAGAAAGTTTTGCATATGTTCAAAGATATCAGTTTTATATTTAATCTTAATTCAAACTTATAATTTGTGTATTTGTAGAAAATCTCTAAATTAGTTCTTTGGAAGCTGTTTGTGCCATGAAAGCATATGGCCCTACCCTGGGGATGTGTGTTCAAGCACCTGCTGATTTTCTATGTATTTTCCATATGACTTTCATTTTTCTTTTTCCACCTCCTTAGATTAACTTCATTGTTGTTGCACAGCGTACAGCAGAGTTTGCTAGAGTGCAGGTCTTTTTTTCTGGGTTAAGAAAGATAAATTTCAGTACTTTCTAAAGGTACTAAGTGTACGTTGGTGTGCATGTGCATGGAATAGACCAATGTATATTTTATTTATATATGTAGAGTCAGGAAGTTATAGAAGAAGCCATGCAAGAAGGCATATCTGGTACCGTTCCATTACCTTGTCAAATTAAATGTTGGAAAATGTGCATGAGTCAGTATTCAGAATTGGTTTTTCTTTTGGTGCATTTGGAAAATAGAGATTGGAGGAGCGATGCTGAGAACTTTCCAAATGATGAATGGTATAGAAATCTGATTTTTACCTTGGTCAGGGACAGGCCTTGATCCAGCGCAGCGTGGTTCTTTCTATGTTCGTACTGTTCATACAAATGCAATTTGCTCATACCGTGTTCTTGAGGTGTATTTATAACCTACACGCATTTACAGCAGTAACTGCAGCTAAATGACACGTGTTTTTCCCGCCGCGCGGCTCCGCGATGCCTGACGAGCGCTTGTGTCCCGCCAGGGGCCGTGCCGCCGGCCGGGCCGCCCGCGCTGCCGCTGAAGCCGGCGCTGGTGCGACGCGCGGCGGCGCCGCGGGGCCTGCCCGTGCCCGCCGTGCCGCGTGCCGCCCCGCGCCTCCCCGCCACCGCCACCGGCACCGCGCTGGCAGCGCAGCTCGCCGCCCTCAGCCTCCGCGAGCAGGAGCTCGACCCCCACGAGGTGGGTTTCGGGGGGCGCTCGGTGGGCGCTTCTGGGAGCGCTGGTTGTGTTCTTTTGCATGACAATAAATGTTTGCTCACGTGGGTTTTGTGTTTGCTTTGTGGGTTTTGTGCTGCGCTGTCCCCAGTGCAGCAGCTCTTCAGGAAGACCACGCATACGTGAATATATCTTCTTTTCCTGAGAGTAGAAATCATCATGTAGTASCATGGCAGGAACTATAGACATTGATACACTTTCTGTTCTCGCTGCTTAAAGTTTAAATTTAGTGTCAGACTTAAATAGTAATTCTTTCTTTGGTTATAGCAAAGGACTCAGAGTAACTTTATTACTAAAAGGTTTGTCTGATTCAGATTCCCCAGTCTTCCAAATTTGTTAAAATTTGTCTTTGATACTCCAGGGTGTCTTGGCTGTATTAGAATTCAGTCATTTCTGGGTAAAATTAGAAAATCTGAAGTGAAGCTGGACAAACATGTTCCCACCTTCTTTAACACAGATCGAGCWGAGGAGGTCATTGCATTTGCTTGGGTTTCTGTGATCTGCCCAGCCTGGTCCTGCGGGGGCTGTGCTTGCTTCTGTCCCGCTCTCAAATCCTGTTGTTGATCCCTGTGGATTGGAAGCAGTTGCAGTAGGACCTGCTGGCTCTGCTCCACAATCTTTTCCTTCCACCCCATAGTAATTTGATGTGCTAAACAGGTTGAGGAAAAAGAAACTGTGTTTCTCTCCTCCATCCTCAAATCCTCCCTTTCATGTCACAAACCAATATCTCCTTTTTTTAATCAAATATATATATCCTGCCAAGAGGAGAGGATCTGCAGTGGTGTGAGGGTCTTACAGCTTTCCTGCTTGTTTAGAGTAGGAGCTGTGAGTGAATTTCAGGATGCACTTGTGCATGTCTGCAGCTTTGCACAGGTCACTTTGCCAAAGGCCGGGACCCTGCATGCCACCCCTGCTGCAGCCACCACACATTTTAGTTATTGCAGCCTGTTGAAAAGAGTGAGAGCAGCTGATTGCAAGCAGTCTGTCCTTGTGTTTTGCAAAACGAAGCTGCATGCATCCTCTGTGCAATGCTAGCGTTTGTTTGCATTATGATTGTTCTCCTGAAGTGAATGTGTTGAGATGYGCATAACGTGTGCAGGTGTTCAGCGGTGCTGCCCCGCTGGGGCCTGCTGAACTGCCCTTAGGGATTTGAACTAGAGGTTTAGAAACATCCTTGCTTTTGCTTAGGAAAGCCCTTTTCCTGTGCAGTGAGTAAATACTGCTGTTTGCTTTTCTGTCCTGTCCAGATGCAGAGCTCCCTCCGATCCGTGCGGAACAGCGCAGCTAAGAAGAGGGCGAAGCTGAGCAGCAGCATCTCAGACCTGGAGAGTCCCGATTCCGCCCTCAAGCCCCATCTCCCCGGGGACTCTGGTTCCCGCGCGTCCTCCCCGAGCGCCAGCTCCTGCAGCGAGAGCGGCCTCTGCGGCCGCGAGGCTCGGGCCTCGCCGGTGGCCGCGGCGCCTCCCMGGAGGAGGGTGATGTGAGTGCAGCGCGTGGGTCAGCGCCGGGGGTTAGCCRGCCACTCCAGGGCTGAAACCTGTGCTTTGTGTCCTGTAAACCTGGTTTTACTCRTCAGGTGCTTCCCTGCCTAAAAACGCTGCTCGGCACTCCAGCTGCTGGAATATTTTGTTCCAGTTCGSTGCAGCTTTTCACTGGACGGAGTCCCAAGTGCAGCCATAGTAACACTGTGCCCTTGAAGGCCTGCCAGTGGCAGTGAATATTTTATGAGGATTTTAGCCTGTCATAGGAAGTACATGAACCATAGCTGAAACAAATGAGGAAGGACAAKGAGTTAAGAGGAGAGATAAGGTTTACTTACTACAGCCTGGACATTTAAGCAGGATTTTTTTTTTCTTTTGAGATAAGAGGAAAGCAAAGTCAGTGTTCCTTATTGCAAAGCACAAGCTGTTCCTTTTTTTTTTTTTATTGACAAACTAAACTAAAAATGCCTTCAGTGAACTTTACTGAGAAGAAATTGTGATGTTATGAGTTAGTTTGAATATGAAGTTGATTATGAGCAAAATGAACTATTTTTTTAATGAAATAAAACTTTGTAGAATTTTACTGGTTCTGCAGTGCCCAATCTTCTGTCCACTCCTGGAGCCTGTGGTGAAGTTGCTTGCAGCTCTGAGCCTTAGAATACTTTGTATTTTTGTATACGGTGACTTTATCCTTTTAAAACTGGTATACGGTTGTATTGCCAAAATAGGAAGGAAAGGAAAGGATGTACAAAAGGAAGGTTGTTGAGACAGGGAGAGACTAGAATGGTTCAGAAACAGAGTTTTCACAGCTGTGGAGTCTCGGGAGTAATTTCTGTCTTCCATGTGTGCATTCCTGCTGAATTGTAGTTCCAAAAATAACCTTTCAAGTAACATATGAGAAGGCAAGAATACCCAAAAAATCAAAATTATAAAATTCTGCAGATGATGTTATTTGAGACAAGGTTTTGAGCAGAACAGATGTGAATAACACTGCAGAATGTGGCACATACCGTTGCAGTTACGCTGCGGCCACACAAGCTTAATATTTTACAAGACTCACAGATACTTGATCAAAGAGGTTAGATCTGATACTAATTTACCAACACTGGAGACTGATACTGTCTATTCACAAAATAGGTACAATGTGAGCAACAAAATTACAGATTTCTTCTGTGTAACTACTTTTAGAAGGATTTTATCCACTGATACAGTACCATGAACAACAGGAGCTTGATACTGGTGTTGGTGAAGTTTCCCCTCAGTTGCTAACATGAACACTAAAATAAAGCATCTTTAATATTCAAATAAATAATAAAAAAACTGTCAATATCATCTGGCATAAAACAGCTTATTCTGGTGAGTATCTGTCTGTAGGAAACTGAGCTGAATGCACAGCTAATTTCTGAAAATTTAAAGTCTGAAGTTTGGGTCGCTCTACTGTTCTTTGCCAGATTACAGTTAGCAGTATTAGTTCCCTAGATAAATGATTCCTTAGCTTTCTGAATGTGTGTGAATTTTACTCCTCCTGTAAAGTCTAGTCTTAAGAATTGTCATTATGGTGTTCTTAGTAGTGGAACTGCTATTGCAATAATTTTACTGATTTTTTTTTTATTGGGTGTGAACATTTATAGGAGTATGAATATTTGTGGGGAAGAGAAACTGAAATATGTCTGTGTGTCTGCTAGAAAGTGTTGTTCAGGTGGGCTTCGACTAGTGTGTAGAATTGTATGTATAAAGGTGTATTTTATATTGTAACAGGTCAGACACCTTCCCTCTACTTGGCAGCAAATTACAGCCCCCTAGGATATCTTCAGCAAGAAGCAGAGAGACTAATGGGCCAGAACAGACCTCCAGCACAGGTATTTTACTGTGTTTATAAATACATAAGTGGTTTTGTAGATAAACCAGAGGGATTGCTTTGGCTAGTGTCTGACTGGACTTGGTCTTACTTGGTCAGTGGGATACTATACCCTGAGCACTTAAAAAAAAAAAAAAAAAAAAAACCTAGACTTTATTTGATCAAACTGAGTTATACTGTGATCCTGCAGGTGAGAAGAAATTCAATTTTTTTTTTTTTTTTTCTATGTCATGATAAAATGTTTTCATACAAAGAGCACCTGTGAGTATGTGTCCTTTGAAATTCAGGAGGGTATTGTTTGGAAATTCACTGGACCCCAGCTAGATAGGAGTAGAGGGGTGAGAGGTTGAAAGCAGTTGATATCCTYGTGGATAGCTGGAGGTGCTGCTCTGTTCTGTGCACATAGAGCCCTCTGGGCTCTCTTCTAGCCCCTCTTCCTGGACGCCTGCTGCGGAGCACCCCCTCAGCAGCTGGGTGTGTTTTCAGAAAACTTGGTGGTTGTCAGATTGGAGGGCGTCATACAAGACTGTAATCTGCAAAACTATCACATTCAAAAAACAACAGTGGGTGCTGAAATTGTTCTTTTTTTTCAGAGATTGTTGCCAAGGCCCTTGGTTTAGTTAGGATTATTTTTAGAATAAATCAGCTAACATGTTTGTCAAGCAACAGCTTAGGCTGGAAAGCAAATTCTGTAGATATGTAGTAATACATTTTGTGGTTGACCCTTASCATTCATTACATGAAAATATCTCTTGTGAGAAGTTGACCTTCAGGGTAAAATAATGAGCAGCATAATAATTTTACTTGCTGAACGAGCTGATCACTCATAACAACCAGCACCAGACCTCTTGTGAAGAGCTGACAGCTTACTTTACTGATAAGGTCAACTCAATATAGTTCAAAATCCTGTATTACACAGAACTTTTCATAAAATATACTCGCTATTTTTCCTTTACAGGACTAATGTTTCATAATAAAGAGATCTCGAATGTCAGCATAGTTGACCAGCATTTGAGATGTGGCAATGGATGTGATGATTTTGAAGACAAGAAGCAAAGTGAAGTGTCACCTACTATTTTTAAAAGACAAAACACAGAACACCAAAGAAATTTTAGGCATTCAAAAGGTTTGTGAGTCTGCTGCATTGCTGTTCATCTGACCTGTCATTTAGGACAGACCAGCTTTTATAGAAAACMCTTTTCAGGGTGTTTATTTATTTWTTTTTTTTTCTCCTAGTCTATTCTAATCAGTTGAGGGGATTTGACATTAACTAAAATTAGAGTGTCAGTAGAAATTAAAGATCAGGAGATAGTAAATGCCATGCAAAAAATGATAAAATATTATTTATCTCAGTGTGAATATTAAGACCGTTAAAAGAAACATATGTTACCTTCTATTACAAATATTTACTCTTATTACAACTGTGGAAGAAATTATATTTACTGCATGGTAAATATTATTCTGAGGATATCAATATTTGCAAACTTCATTGACTTTTTTAAAAAATCAATGATTTATAAATACGATAAAGAATTCAGATGTCAGCATAGAAGAATAAAACACAAAAGGGCAAACTCTGTGATTTGCATGATCAATGTTTTTTTCTTCTTTCTTTCTTTTTCTTTTTTAAGGTTTTACAGGGTCAACTTCTAGTTTTCAACAAACGAACAGCCTAGATTTCATTTCACCAAGGGTCTTGCCAGAAGATTCAGTAGCAGTTGTCGGTAAAGGTATTACAAAACCAAAATCATCCCTATCATGTTTTTAAAATGGGGGAAAATGTCTTTTTACAGAGGTGGTTATTTTGATGAGGACACGGCATGATTTGCCTTCCAGGTGTTTTTGGGAGCTCTTCCACGCTACCGTGTGGCCGCTCCGTAGCGCGTGTGGAGAGCGGGGTTGAGCAGGCTGTGAAAGCAGGCCCTGAGCCGTCGCCGGGGGCCGGTGCGAGAGGCCTCTGGCAGAGCAGCGCTGCCCTTCTCCACGGGGAAGACGAAAAAGGGGTAAGAATTACAGGACGATTTCATTGCCTCGCTGGTGTTTTTAATAGGTATGAACACAGCTGCATATATAGTTTTATATATTGGGAAAGAAGAGTTTGATTAGGAAGCATTAATTCATAGCTCAGGTGGCTGGCAATACAAATCCTTATGTTAGTCAAGGAGTCCCATTACATTTTGAAGACTAAAGCTGGGTTAATAATGGSAACTCATTTGTCAACATCTGGTTGTCTGTGTGCAAATTGTTCTGAACAGCTCATTTAACTTTTTTGGCAAACTATAATGAGAACAGTTTCTTTCGTATAAATGTTATATTGCAGAATGTTACATTAAGCAGAAGTTTCTTGTAATTCAGAGTTATTTTTCTAACAGTGACTAAATAAAAAGGGGGGCTATATTTTCCTCAATAAATTGTCAACTTCAGGGTTTTTTTGCACGCTAATAAAAGGCTGGAATGGACTGGCTTTTTCGAGTCATAAATAAATATGAAATAAACTTGATTKTCTTGACATAGTCCATATGGAATTTGCATTCTTACCTCTAACAGGGCAATAATAGTGGTTTTTTTTGTTTTTTTTTTTTTAATTATTATTACATCTCCTAATGGTGGAATAATTTTGTGCAGATAAAAGTTGCCATGTCAAAATCTGCCCAGGATAAGATGAGGCAGAAGAAAAAAGAAGAAAGGGAACAAAATCACAAGGAACAACACAAAGTTAAAGACCTCAAAGTAAAAGAAGAAAATCCCTGGGCAACAATCAAGATGAATGAACCAGAGAAAATGACAATAGAAAGTGAGAACTAATGGTTATCTTAAATGCATAATGTTCCTTAAATGATRATGAAGTTGAAATTATAATTCTGAGATAATTCTTAAAGATTATGACCCTTAGGTATGACTTTAATGAGTTTTACCTTGCTATTTGCTCTCCAGACATTTCTTATAGGTTTTGCAGTACAAAAAATGGAGAGCAAAGTGCTTAGAAGAAATATTTGAAAAAATGCAATTAGTAAAAAATACAAAAAGCAAGTTAAGACTTAAAATACAAGTCATTTCCAAGTCATTTTCTGGTTTTGTTGTTAGCTTGGATGTTTCTTTCTGTTTTCTAGATTTTTATGGAGATACATTGGCATCATCAAGAGGTGAATCTTCGCCATTAGAAAACATTGTCTTGAGCCCTTCATTAAAAAGAACATCCAGTTTGAAGAAGACACAATGTTCAGCCATGCTGGATGCTGGTAAGCTGTGACTGAACATAAATGACTAAACCATATGTAAAAGCCTATGTTAAAATGTTTGTGGACGAGTGGAGAGTGAGAGTTCCAAAATAGGATCAGGCTTAATACGATTTATCTGTAAGATAGATTGGCCTGAGATGCTCTAGGAAATGACTGGAGTGGGGAGGAAGGGAATAGAACTCACCACTGACACCTCAAAATATTTTTCAACCTTAATTTGTTAGGAAAATGTTTCAAACACTAGAGTTTTTCACCTTGCTCAATGACTTAAATGATATAAAATGCTGATGGAAAATTGGCTGTCCTCTGGATACTTCCTGACCCAAGAAAAACAYTTCTGGGTAGGGTATGTTTTCACCGAGATGCCTGTAAGATGCTCAGTGGAAACTTTTCAGAATACAAGCTCGTGTTGGCTATGGTCTGAGGCTTGGGAATTTCCCAGTGGTCTGTAATACTGGAAGAAATAAGAATGCATTGTAAACTTGACAGAGTACTGGATTTAATACGACAATAAATTAGTTTGCCAGATAAGAAGAACTTTATGCTACAATGAACTCAATCTGATTATTATTGTATATAAAATGGAATTCATTTGTACATTGGACTAAAAGTTTTATGTTAACAACACTTACTTTGTGGTGCTTACTTATTTTTGTGACTGCATACCTTACAAAATTATTTGTCAGTAGCCAATTGCTCACAATTATAATTTTCCCATCYTCTCAGTCTACAGAAACTAGATAATTTTTGTTCGATAGCACAAGATTTGTCCATCAAGCTGGATGGAGTGGCCGACACTCCGGAGGGCTGTGCTGCCATCCAGAGGGACCTGGACAGGCTGGAGAGTTGGGCAGAGAGGAACCTCATGAGGTTCAACAAGGACAAGTGCAGGGTCTGCACCTGGGGAGGAATAACCCCAGGCATCAGTACAGATTAGGGGTCGACCTGCAGGAAAGCACCTCCACGGAGAGGGACTTGGGAGTCCTGGATGACACCAAGTTAACCACGAGTGAGCAGTGTGCCCTCGTGGCCAAGAAGGCCAATGGSATCCTGGCCTGCATCAGGAGGAGCGTTGCCAGCAGGTCAAGGGAGGGGATCCTGCCCCTCTACTCAGCTCTGGTGAGGCCGCACCTGGAGTACTGTGTKCAGTTCTGGGCACCCCAGTATAGGAGGGACGTGGAGCTTCTGGAGAGGGTCCAGAGAAGGGCAACCAGGATGATTAAGGGAATGGAACATCTCTCGTATGAAGAGAGGCTGAGTGAGCTGGGCCTGTTTTCTCTGGAGAAGAGACGGCTCAGAGGGGATATGATTAATATGTCTAAGTTCAGGAAGAGAGAATGCAGGGAGGAAGGGGACAGGCTGTTCTCACTGGTGGCCAGCGATAGGATGAGGGGTAATGGCCACAAGCTGAAGCATAAGAAGTTCCGTCTCCAGGTGAGGAGCAACTTCTTTACTGTGAGGGTGACAGAGCAGTGGCACAGGCTGCCCAGGGAGGTTGTGGAGTCTCCTACTCTGGAGGTCTTCCAAACCCGCCTGGATGCCACCCTGTGCCACATGCTGTAGGTGTGCCTGCTTGAGCAGGAAGGTTGGACTAGATGATCTCTATAGGTCCCTTCCAACATTAAATATTCTGTGAATCTGTGAATCAAATTTCTCCTGAAAGCTGAAATTGCTTTAAACTAAATGCAATGATTTTCAGTTTCAACTGTGAGATAAAGTCTTACCTAGGTGCTTTGTTTCACCACATCAGGCTTTCACACATTGTGCTTCTATTTTTCTTTGAAACAAACAAACAAACTACACTTGTGTTTGCGACTTTTTAAAGCAGTGGTTGTATGTGGGTAATTGTATGCAGATTTTCAATCACCTGTGCCGGTATGTAGAGGATGCAACAGAAAGGTTGTCTTTCAGGCATCTTGGTCCTTTAGTAGCAGCAATCTCTATAAACCTCAAACTTTTTGTATTTTCTTCYTTTGAAGGAGCTGATTTCTTGATTGTGCTGACTGTTTGTTGTGCTTTCTGACTATGCAGATGAAGTTTCTCCTGGGGCACGAGGGCAGTATAAAGACCGGACCCCATCGGTCACTCACAGTCCGGAAATAATGGATCCATCTGAGTTGCAGCCCTTCTCCAAACCCGAAACAGCTCTCACAGAAGCGCTAAGACTTTTAGCTGATGATGACTGGTGAGTGTGAAGGTCTGTTCAGAGCCTGCCCATCTGCCCAAGGCACTGCTGCTCATAGCATTGCCTTCAACAAACTGGCCAAATGGAGGTAACCTTCCAAGGGCTGCACGAGAAGGATACATAGATATTTTTTCTGTGTGAATTTAGTTTAAATTGGAACTATTGTAAAATGATACTTTGTGTTTTCAGAAACTTCTTTTTTTTTTTGAAGTCTAAGCCCTGCTTTGTGTAGGGCCCCCACTGATAAGTATCCTCTCGTTTATTTTCTGTGGAATGCAAGGTTTTACTGCAGCCCTTATGGGAGGGACAGTGCTACCTTTTCTGTTTTGTGAAGAAAAATAATCCCTTTCTCACTCTACCACAAGATGTAGACAGATTTGCAGGAAAAGATTTAGAGGCTGGTCTGTTAACACAGCTCTAATACCACATCAAGGAGAGACYTATTGTGAAAGAATTTCCCATTTTAAATGTTATTGCTATTTACAAGCTAATTTGTTCACTGTTTTGTGCCTTGTTATTTCTATATCTTTTTTTTTCTGAGAAAATAGCAAATGTTTTGAATTTAAATATTTACTTTAACTAGGGAGAAGAAAATTGAAGGCTTGAACTTTGTGAGATGTTTGTCTGCCTACCACGCGGATATTCTGACTGTAAAACTGCATGAAACAAGTTTGGCTGTGGCTCAAGAGGTTAAATTTTAATATCAGAATATTGCACTGATTATGTATGTGTGTATATGTATTTTATAGCTCTAAGATACCTTGACATGAAATAGCATATTCATTTGTAGTTCATTTTCTCTGTTTTGGCCTTTCTCTAAAGGATGAATCTGTAGTTCAGTGAAGCAGGTCATACTTCAGTTATCAACAGTTTATTTGACTTTCTGGCAACTAGATTATGCTTTATTGCATTCTAATGCTTATATATTTTAACTCTCACACATTGTGRATCAAGTGAGAAATTTATTTCTCACTTGATTCTAAAGTTATTTAAAAATGACAATGGGAAACATTAAGCTTTACTTGATTTTAAGTATATTTATAAGCAATATTCATTGTTTGTTTGGGTTTTTCTGTGTGCAGGTCAAGAATTTACGCTCAGGTGTTTCTCGAGCTGCTGTGGTCTGTTTAGGGGATTTGTTCACCTACCTGAAAAAGAACATGGATCAAGAACTAGATAATACAGTAAAAGTCCTGTTGCACAAAGCTGGTGAATCCAACACATTTATAAGGGAAGATGTAGACAAAGCACTGAAGGCTATGGTTAATAACGTGACTCCAGCACGTGCACTTTGTTCTCTGATAAATGGAGGGCAAAGGTAATTCTTACCAAGACTTCATGGAGAAATAATTTATCARTAGATTAAGCAGTCAAGAAGAGTAATTATTTTTTTTTCCTCAGATTAAAACCATAACAACTTATCTCTGCAAAACTTATGTTCAGGGGAATATCTCTTTTGGTATATAATTAAAATACAGGTTCCCCCCCACATACACACTCTTTATTTTGCATTATGTAAAGAATTGACTCTTGCTTATATTTTCTTGTAGTTTTGCAAGACTTCTGTAGTTCTGTTCAGTATTAGTATAGTAGTCCCAAGAAACTATTATTCATGGTCTAGGAAAGCTCAGCTAGCATTCTCCTTTGCCATTTGTTCTGCAGCCAAAGGGCTCTTTTATAACTTCTTCAACACTTTTTCTTTAGAACAATACTTTTCAGCTGCATGTCTCTGAATGCAGTCGTGGTGGTCCAGTTTATATTCCTCTCTTAGACTTAACTGGTCAATGTCTTTTGTCTTCAATTTCCTGGAGGTGATGGTGGCCAGTTCTTGCGTACCTCACACCTGACTAGCTCCCATTTATGTTTTCATAGTTGGATTCTTTCCTTTAGCTTGCTTTGCTCTGCAGCAGAAGTGGTAGTATTTTCTTACACCTTACCTGTAACATATGTTTTTCTTCTTCCTTTTATATCCTCATTCACTGTGTCAGAATGCTTACTCGAACACCTACYGGCTAGATTGTGCTGGATGTGTTGTTAGTTCTAGTCATGCTGTAATGTACCTGCCATTGCTTAGAAGGGTATGAATTTCTCGTAGTCCGTTCCCTATGTTCACTATGTGAAGCCCGGTGGTGTAAAGTGAACGTAAGGGCTGCTGCACAGCTGGAACTCTTAGAGTCTGGATTCAAAATATTTTCCTTCCCATTTCCTATCCTGGGAAGTCGGTGGTTATGGAATGAAAGGCAATAAGAACTGCCCTTCCATTATTTGAACGTTAAACTGAGCAGCAGATATAAGCCTTGGAAGTTAAATAATTTGCTCGTTATTGTGGTCGTTTGTTTCGGCATGGAAGAGGCGCGGAGAGCAGCCGCGCTGCGGAGCCGYGCAGAGGTTCCGCAGGCGCCCGGGCACGGCTGCCCCTCGCCGAGGCCGCGCTCCTGAGCACGAGGGGCTCCGTCTGATCCCCACTGCGCGGGAGCAGCTTCAAACGCACTGCTTGGTCCCGACATTTCTAGGCCTGTGAAGGTTGACCCTCTGATTTGTGGACTCAAATATATTTTCAGCTGTATGAAGTAAAAAAAATTGCCTGAGCTGTGGGTCTGAATACAGCATTTGAAGCAGGAACTTTGCAGCTAAGAAACCTCTGGCTAGAGAGGTGACTCAAGTCAAGGATCACAGCGTGCCTCCAAGGCCAGCAGCTGGTGGGTCAGACCTAAGTAGCCCTGGTGGGTCAGGCCTAAGTAGCCCTGTGAGTTGCAACTTGCCTATATTGACTTCATGCAACTCTGGCCTTCTAGGAGAAATGGGCCCTGTGGAGCTATCGTCTCTTGAGCCTGGGGCAGTGAATGTAAGAATTATATTTAAAGATGAAATCTGGGAGAAGAATGATACTTTTCTTTGGTCTAACATGGAAAGCTTGAGGTTTGACATGTTTGCATGATTATACGAAATGCAGCTTATACATTGAGTTGCTTGATTCACCACAGCCTCTGCGTTCACGTTAACAGTTATGGGTTGGCTTACAAAATCATAAGATCATCTAAAATGTGTGTATTTTCTGGTTTGCATGTTTGAAGTCTACTATGATCATAAACACTTGCAACCCAATAGGTACCTATACTGGTTCCTCATCATCTATGAACTTTGCCAATAATAAGGAAAAACATTTTTATTTTTATTTGCTTTTCTGTGACACTACTGTAAAGATACCGGATTGCTGCTGAAAACCCACTTCTCTGTGTAGGTGCTTGGTCCAAGATTGTGATTGCAGGGCTAGATCTGAAATCTCAGCATTAGTACTTCAGTCACCTTTGCTGTCCATATCAGTTAATTTTAGCTTCTTATGCATACCCTGAAATGTCTTACTATTGTGCATGAGCAGCAGGTACTTGTGGGGAGTGGGGGCTTCTCGTGCGAGTTTCATGAGACCTGTGAACTCCTCAGTTGTTGTTCCGCAGTCGGTGCACGTGCTAGGAATCCTCTGTGCTGTTTTCCTTCTACAAAGCTCCGGGGGCACRTGCGTCCTCACGGAAACCTGTGTGCTCGGGGACACCTGCGTGCCCCGCGGCTGTAGCTGCAGGCGAGTCAAAGCCAGTCTTGATGAGGCTGCTCAGCTCTGGCCAGCAGTAGCGCTGCGTTCGCAGAGTTCAGCACGCTGGCAGCCAGGTTGTGGCACCGCTTTTGCAACCTGAATTGGGTTCTGCGTGGCCACGTTTTGCTGTTTAGCAGACCCAGGTAGCGGCCTTGGAGCAGCCTGCAGCCGTTCGAGCTGCCTGGGTGTCTGCTGCCGGCTGGGCGCGCGGCGCCTTTCCTTGCAGGGAGGCTGTGGCACACGTGGAGTGGCAGAAAACCAAAGTCCTGACGAAACGGGAACACGGAGATCGGGGATCGCTGGATCTTTCCGTCTGTCTGAATCGCTAGGGAGCCTCTGCCATGACTTAGAGAATCAGATCTTTTCCTTTGCTCTCCCCTTTAGGTCTGTTTTACATTTGCATTATGAAAGATAAACCATAGAAATGTCTTATTGTGCAGTAAAACTCATCTTAAAATAACCATCTTTATCCCAGGTGAAAATAAAATTAGAATGTTCTGAATTTGTGGAGTTGAATTGTATGCTGCAAACTTATGTGGGATCAGCAGCATAATTTATATGTAAGGCTACTTTGCTACACGAGTTGAAAATTGATTCCATTATTTCATCAGCATAGGTATTTGATGATCTCTTGTATAAAGTAAACTTAGCAAGATTTTTACAAGTCAATAGAATATTGCTTTATTTAATTTTAAAATGATATAAACAAATRAGATGTGGGTCAGAACATAGGAATTTCTTTTTCATAAAATATCTGGAAAGAACTTGTTAATAGTGATCTTTCTAAAATTATTTTTACAATTCTTTTAAGCAAATTAAAGTTTTGGCTTTAAAAAGAAGAAAATAACCTGTTTAARCAATCCCAGAGCTGCAGTATTCTGCCTAGTAAGAAATCAGGAGAATTAAACTGGCTTTAAACAAAAAGGACGTTATTTTTTCCCTTTTCACTCTGCATTCTTGTAGCTACATTTTTTAAGCGAATGAAATGAAATTCGGTTTAAAAAGCTGAGTGCTTTGCTCTGTGTCACTTCTGGCTTTTTGGTAAAGGCGGACCGGGCCCGCGCAYGCGAGCGGCGTCTCGGTGGCGGTCGGTGCCGTGTGCGGCAGGACAGGCGGTGCCGCGCGCGGCCCCGTCCTGCTGAGCGCCTCTCTCCTCCTCAGCCACCTGCACACGGCGGTGAGGAGATGCACAGCCCAGCACCTCGCGGATGTCGTGGAGCGCATGGGCCCTGCGCGGGTGCTCTCTGGAGCCAAGGATGTCACCGACAGGATCTTGGCTGCCACAGCCCGGTTTGCGCAGGACGGCTCCCAGGAAACCAGGTTGGTGGAGGAGCGGAGGTCSGGTCGGGGCGCCGCAGCTCACCGTTGCCCTGCAGAGGCAGGGGGTGGCTGCTGGTGACATGTGTAGTGAGGTCACCGGAACGTCCTGCCCGGTGCCCCGCGGGCTGCGGGAGGGAGAGGGGCTCCCGGACGCGCTCTCGCGTGGCGGCAGCCCCAGGGCACCCGCGCTGGGAGCAGCAGGGCTGCACTGCCCGACTGCGGGCAGCAGACACCGCGGCCTCGAGAGGGAGGCCCGCTCCTTGCCCGGCGCGCTGCGCTCCCGCTCGGGTGCCGCGTGCTGGCCGTAGCCGCCGTGCGGGAGCGGGAAGGCGCTCAGGTTGCCCRCACGGATAACTACCCTCCTGTACGTTCATGTTTTGAAATGACAAGTATCTAATTATCAATGGAGTCAYGGAGCAAACCCATGTTGACAGATTCGTACGTCATGGGCTGTTGCCTTGCAGGTATTATGGGCGAAAGATGCTCTTCAGTATGATGACTCATCCTGATTTTGATAAAATGCTTGAGAAGTATGTGCCAGCCAAGGACTTGCCTTACATTAAGGAGTGTGTTAGCAATCTGCGTCAAAAGGTATGTGGAAAAAAGCTTTTGTGCAACAGGCGAGCGATGTAAACTGGTACCAGTAGCTGTTTGGTACCAGGAAGGGGAAAGATGTGTTCAGAGAATTGCAAGTAATCAAGGGACTGCTGCAGAGCAAATTACTGCTTATCAGCTAATTCCTTGCAGACACGTGGTCAACTGCCCTTTCCTATTCCACTTCACACAGCTGTCACTTGCCTCTGTTAGAGTCTCCAGCAGTGCTAATAAATCCTTTCATCTCCGTGCAGGGTCTGGGGGAGATGCCATTAGATACCCCCTCAGCAAAAGGAAGACGTTCCCATACCAGTAGTGTTGGACATTCGAGGTCATCCTCTACTTCCAGAGATGCTGTCAACCCCAGTGAGAGGTAATGATATTACCAAGTGTTCTACCCTGTTAGTAACAGACCTGTGCACAAGAAAAGACTGTTTGAACATTCTCAAATTTGTGAAAATTGAACATACCTGAAGGAAAGAGTGAAACTTAGTGGTTACCTATTAAAGAGGATTTATCTGGGAAATAACAATATGAAAGTTGCTTTGTGCATTTATAGCTGGTCTGTTTTATCGGTTGCATATGAAAATATGTACAGTACAAAGCGCATGTATTCACAGTTGACCCGTGTGACTGTCAGCTCAAGATGCTGCCATTCAGATGGTGGTAGCTGCAGTTTACTTCAGAGATCAGATTATTTCGTTGTGTGCTTATCTGGACAACTAAAGAATCAGGTGATTTTTATCTGGGATGGTGATGATCGTAGAACATATTGGCCCCATATTTGGTTTCCTGTTTTGTCTTCTTAATAGGTCTTCTTTTGATCTGTAAAAACCAAAAAAACTGTATTGAAGAGCACAGAGTTTGTAGGGGCTGTGACTAGCTCAGATTTAGGAAGGTGCAGCTATTTGGGAGCAGATTTCTTTCGTGCACTCTCCACTATTCAAGATCAGAACTTGAGGCATGATGGTGTTTTTGCTTTGCTATGTAAAGCTAAAAGGCCATTTCCACGTAGGAGATGTTCCCCACTGCATTCAGCCCAGGGCAGGTGGGTGTTGGTGCCATCCACCAGCTCGGAGCTAATGGGCTTGAGCCCAAAGGTGTTTGTTTCGTGCCCCATCAAAGGCTTTGCTCAGGTGTTAACAAGTGAGCTAGGGAACCTATCTGCACTGGTCTGCAGATGCAAGATACTCATTTGTACTTCAGATAAATTGGAGCCATTAAGCTTTCATTAGTCAGAAACAGAAAGGAAGAGATTCTCAGTCTGTTCAGTCAAGCTGCAGCACTTGAGATTCTTCATCACTTTCAACTTTTGAAACACTTTGAACTCTTGCTATTTTTCACGGTGATAAAATTCATCTGTTATCATTTATCATATAAATTGTGTAAAGTTCAAATAAATTGTTCCTGCTTAGTCCCTTAGCCTCATCATTACACTTTAATTGAGCTGTAGTCTTCTACTTCACCTCACCCTGAAGGTACCTCCATAACAGGTGCCTGCCTGGCCAGGAAAGCATAGGGTTCCCATGTAGCTGTAGCTGCTCTCTTGTGTGGTGGCAGATAGGCTTTCAGAGTGGAATGAGACTTAGGAAACAATAATAATTGTTATTATTTTAAATAATCATATTTAAAATGTGAGACCGCCTTCATCATGAGATTTTTCTGTACGCTCTTGATACCTGCACTTCTGCTGAAGGGTGATGTCTTGATTAAGGACTCCTGTTCCTGAYTGATTATGCATGCAATGAATAACTTAACATCTTTCTTTTACAATAGAGAGTCTGTAGAAGCTCGTGAAGTTCCAAGAAAAACAGTTCCTCATAATTCACTAGAAACTGCGGAATATGTTAAAGTCATTACAGATTTATTGAATGCAAAAGACTTTCGTGATCGAATAAATGGAATTAAGCAGCTGTTATCAGATACAGAGAACAATCAGGACCTTGTTGTTGCAAACATTGTGAAGGTAACTGTCCAGAAATATCCTTCTTCAACAGTCTTGAAATTGCTGTCACTGTATTTTCTGCTGAAAATCTGAATAACCGGGCACGCACATTAAAAGAGATTCCAAGAAAACACCAAGAAAGAGGTCAGTTATGCTTAGAAGAGAGATAACATGAGCTATGAAGGTAGTTGGAGGTAAATAGGAGGAGCCTGAAAGATTTCACGTAGAGTCCCCATTCATGGGACTATTTTCTGGAATAATACATGCAGTTTCTCTTATGCTGCTGCTGAAGAAAGCTCAAAATAGTGGAACAGGTTACAAAAAGATTTGCAATGAGAAATCAAGATCTGAAAACCTGACTCTGAAACACAAACATGAAATTTGTTTGCATGTTTGTGCAGGAAAAAAAGTGAGGAAGTGTCTTCATTGTGATAGCAGCTTGAGGAACTTACTGTTTTTGATAGGAAAGGATTTTCTGTGAGTCCAACAGTTGTAAGCTAAGGATAGACARATTGGAAGCAGAATCAAATTGCCTTTTAACAGTGGTGTCTTTGCTTTGAAGCTACAAAATATTGCTGTGAAACTTGCCAGGATCCCACCTGTGAATAATTTTGAAATCTTCTAACTAAGATTGGATACCCTTCTAAAAGAGGTGAAGTTTAGAATTGCGATCTAGGAACTGTCAGGGGAGAGTCCAAATATGAGCAAATGGTGAGAAGTTCAGAAAAGAGGYTTTCTGTGAGGATACCTGTTACTTACACCTCCAAAAGGCAGAAACAAACCTTGGCAACTTACAGCATGTCGGAATGACACGCACGGATTCAGCCTAGACCCAGCTCAGGGTGTGCTGTGGGAAATGGAACATAGAACTCAAAGATGCTGGAGACGGATGTTCTTTTTGCCTAACAGAATTTAACTTGTTAAAAATACTGTTTTTGGCAGAAAAATATTGAAAGTTACATTTGGTTGATGTATTATGTTGCATAGGAAAGATTCAAAATCAGATTAAGTTGGATATAATTGAATCATACACAGAATGCAAATATCAAATGCCAGTTTTCTTGATAGCAGAATAAAATCCCAGTTTTTTTTGCATAGCTGAGCTTTCTCTGGAGAAAATGCACAGTGAAAGTGTAAATATAGAGCAGGAAGTTTAACATCTACCTCACACATTGGTTTTTAATTCCAGTGAATGCTGTTTGGCTGTTTTATTTTCAGATCTTTGACGCTTTCAAGTCTCGCTTGCATGACTCCAATAGTAAAGTGAATCAGGTGGCTTTGGAGACCATGCACAAGATGATTCCATTGCTGAAAGACAACTTATCACCTGTGATCAATATGCTCATTCCTGCCATGGTAGACAACAACCTGAACTCCAAAAATCCAGGGATTTATGCAGCTGTCACAAATGTTATTCAGGCTCTATGTCAACACTTAGGTAATTTACTCACTATTATTTTTTCAAAAGTTAATTGTATCAATAAATTTTAAGTGTAAAGATTTGGTCTATAAAATAATTTCCATCCAGACACTGTATTGTGTAAGAATAGTTTATTCTCACTTTCATGAAAAGACACGTCATCTTAACTTTTCAGTGTTTTGCCAATCTGATAAAAAATATTGCTAGCTGGACTGATTGTAAATGTGCAAGTGCTTTTGTTATATTTTCGTAGCAAGTATTTCATTATTCAGAAGCATGTGAAACTCCTGAGACTTCTAAGCAGCCCAGAGAACTGGATTTTTGCTCTTTTCTACAAGCCACAGCAAATTTTCTTTCTCAGCCATCTTGGCTTTGGAGCAGAATCTTGATATTTTCAGTAAATGAAAATGTTCCATGCTGGCTGACTGTTGAAGTGCAGGATCATTAAGAGTATGTCTTCATGCTTAAATTACATTGCTTTGTTTCTTAGAGTGACTATATAATAAATAAGGTAATTATTTCCATTTTTTGGTTTTGTGATTTCTAACGTGTTTTTCTTTGAATTTAGACAACTACCTGCTTCTCCAGCCATTTTGCACAAAAGCCCAGTTTCTGAATGGAAAAGCGAAACAGGACATGACAGAAAAGCTTGCTGGTAAAGTTACATTTTGCTTTGCGTGTTTGTTTATTTGTATACATCCTCATGATGCAAATTCATTGTGGTTACAGGGCTGTTGCCTGCTGCGGATCTGCCCTTCAGTCCCGGTACATGACAAGCATTAATAATGTAGCATTGTCAAATTTCAGCTCCTCCAATGTAAATAGCTGGTGCTGACAAAACAAAAGATTATGGTATTATTGTCAGATATCCCCTGCAAGTTACGTGACGACCTGAAGCTTTGCTGGCCTTAGAACAGAAATGCAGAGACTGAGTTYTATTTTGTAAAGAGTTTTATTCTGTCGGTGTCTGACTGTGCTGTGCTGCACTGCTGTGGCTTGGGTTCTGACTTGCCTCCTTCTGTCTCCCAGGCAAACATACGATTTTCTGTGCGGACAGCTGGCCTTGCTGAGGAGAGCCCTTGTCTTGCTTAATTCCCTTATTTGCTTCAGGTCCTATTCCCTCTTGCTCCTCCATACCCTTGTCCGGAAGAAAAGAGTGGAATAACTTTTTTCAGGTTTCCTAGCAGAGAAGATGACCCCTTCTCCAAGGATTCCTCCTGAAGTGCTGCAGTTTTACCTCTAGGCTTGTTTACCTTTCCCAGTGGGTCTCGTTCTCACTCTTAGTACTCCTTACYGGGGTTCAGCAGGCAAACTGAGCTGCACCCACCACAAAAATTGCAGGCCTCATAATGGTGCTCTTCCTCAACTGGTACTAAAAGATTTTTTTTAAAAAAAGGTAAGTTTCATTAGAAGATGCATACAAATTTTAATAGTGGAGATTATCAACTTGAAATAAATTATAATAGAATGYTGAATTCTCCTTTGATGTGAACAAGGGCAAACAGATTATAGAGTTTATTTTGAGGGCAGGTATTTCACAGAATTACAGAATCTTAAAGGTTGGAAGGGACCTCKAGAGATCATCTAGTCCAACCTTCCTGCTCAAGCAGGCACACCTASAGCATATGTATGAGTTTGTGTAATAATTTGTATAGTAGTGAGGAAATGAAACTGTGTGACTTACTGAACAGTACTAATCATCAGCTCTGAGCAGTTTGGTTCTGCCAGGATTTTTTCGAGGAGTTTGTAGTAAACATCAGAAGACTATGTAATATGTGTTCTAGCAAAGTGACTGCTATTTGCCTGCAAATACTTAAATCCATTATTTCATTGTGCAAGTGTGGAAAATATTTCAGCTTGCCATGTATTTATAACTTACGGCTGTTTTGTTCCTTGAGTTCAAAATAGGGACTGGGTGATAGATGAGGAATCACAAAATACCCCGTGTTACCCTTCGGTAGTCGGCTGGTCGATTTTCGGGGCGCTTGGTGCTGGGTGTGGGGCCGGCAGCGGGGCGCGGGTGCGTGACGCGCCGCTCGCTCTGCCCCGTGCAGATCTGGTGACGGAGCTGTACCCGCGGAGGCCGCACGCCGTGGAGCAGAAGGTGCTGGCCGTGCTGTGGCACCTGCTGGGCAGCGCGGGCGGCGGCGGCTCGCCGTGCGGCACCGGCGCCAGCCTCCGCGCCGCCACGGCCAAGCTGTGCAGRGCGCTCTCGGCGCAGATGGGCGCCAGCCTGCTGGCGCACGCCGCCTCCCAGCCGCCGCACATCCAGAGGAGCTTGGAGGAGGTCCTGGAGATGGGCACGTAGAGCGGCCGGAGCCGTGCCCCGCTGCCGAGGGCAGAGCCGGCCCCGCGCGCAGCCCTGCCGCCCATGGGACGTTTGTAACGAATAACACACGCTGTTTGTTTTTAATTGCATAATCACGTTTCGACATGTTGCCTTATGCCTGTTAAATGCAMGAGGAATGCTGCAGAGGGCGGTGAGGAGGGACGATTTGCGGGAAAAGGTGTATTTTTGTGTTTCACTCCCCCCTTCCACCTCTGGGCAGTTGCTGCGTCGCCTGCTCCCTCGGGAGCCCCTCAGGAGTGAGGCGGGCTGTTGGCGGCCCGCCCCGCGGGCCCGGGCACCCCCACCCCGGTACTGTACCCRTTTTGCAGAGGAACCGTTGACAATAAACGGATTTATTTCTGTAACGCGCGCCCGCCGCCTCCTGCCCTTCCCGCCCGTCGGGGGGACTGGGAGGGGAGGGGGAGCGAAGCAGCCGCGGCGCCTGCGCGGTGAGGGAGGGGCCGTGCGGCGCTGTGCGCAGGCGCGGAGCGGCGGGAAAGGGCCGTGCGCAGGCGCCATACCAGTGCCGTGCGCAGGCGCCATACCAGTGCCGTGCGCAGGCATCGTGGGGCGGGCGGGCGGGTGCCGCGCGCAGGCGCAGAGCGGCGGGAGGGAGCCGTGCGCAGGCGCCGGGGGACGAGCAGGTGCCGTGCGCAGGCGCAGAGTGGTGGGAGGGAGCCGTGCGCAGGCGCCGTGGGGCGGGCGGGGGCCATGCGCAGGCGCAGAGCGGCGCGGAGCGTTGCGCGCAGGCGCGGCGCGGCGTAAAGCGTTGTGCGCARGCGCGGCTCGCTCTTCCCGGGCCCGGCGGTGTCAGCGCGCGCGCGGCGGGCGGATGGTGACGAGCCCGGCGGCAGGTGGGGGCGCGCAGCGGCGGCCTGAGGGCCTCGGGACGCGGGGAAGCGCCTCAGGAGGCACCGCGGGGCCGCGCGCAGGGGCCTCCGCGCGGGCGGCTGCGGCCTCTCGCGTGGCGGGCGCAGGCCGCGCCGCGGGGCGGCCCGGGGAGGGGGAGGGGCCCGGCCGTGAGGCGGCGGGCGGCCCTGAACGTGTCCGGTGCCCGCGTTTGTGCTGGAAAACGGCGCTGCCGCGTGCGCGGCGAGGCCCCGGCGGGAGCGCGCGGCGCCCCGGGCCGCTGCGTGGGGCGCGCGGAGCGGGATGTCACCGCAGGGTGCGGAAAGTCCCGAGATGGGCGAAACGGGCCCCGCGGGGCTGCGGCCTGGCGCCACGCGGGCCTCGGGCCTGCGCGCCGGGCACGGCCGCGGCCTTGGGTTCCTGGAGAGCCGGCAGCGGGAGGGCTCGCTTGGAGACGCTCCAGGGGACTTTAGTTGGAAGTCATGACATGGAGTTCAGRCCCTGTCTGAAACATTCACTGTGTGTGCGTAGATGTGATGAAAAAGTGACCAAGTTCTACCCTATTCCCTTATTTACTTATTTTTTRATTTATTTGATTCAGAGAAAGTAAAAGCTGTTAAAAAAAAAAAAAAACTATTTATTTATGTATTAAACTGGATTTCTTCTTCTGAACCTTCCAGAAAAGGGCAACATCTGGCATATCTCAGAATAATTTTTAGGACATGAATTACAATATATTTAAGTGCAGCTGCTTTAGCTGTCTYAGAGGTTTTACGGCTTAAAAATCAGGGCTGCTCTTTTGCATAAATCACTTCTCTTGTGCCTTGATTTTTTTTTTCTTAATAAGGGTTGTACAGGTTATCTGTGAAGGATAATAATAGTTGTTGTTGGTGCAGATCTGTACCCTGTACTGACAACAGTATAGTCTTACCATTTTGCTATTTAATTTTTAACTTACAAAGGGTGTTTATTAATTAAGTCAATACCGAAGACAAATCCCCAAAATTCATTAATAAAACTGACTTTTCACACTTTTTAAATTGTTATTAATTTTAGAATAACTTAAGATGTGAGGAAGAACTGGTCATTGATGAGATAAGTGCACACCTTGCACAATATTTTGTTTTCTGTAAGATGAAAGTAGTTAAATACCCTGTGCAGTCAGCTTSTGTTTGCATGACAACAATAGCATCAGCTGTTCATAAACAGATGAGCTGTTGTCTCCTTTGAAGCTAAAGTATATGATTGGTATTCTTCAAAAGGTGAAAAACATTTCCTTTCTGTCTAGAATTTTTTTTCCCTCACTTTCTTTGAGGATATAATTTCTATGTGTTTGTTAAATAAAAGCAAGAACGTTTGTTCTCTTTTCAGGCTTTTGGTTGGAATGAATTACAGAGATATGAGTTGGGGAGGATTTTGGGAGAGAACCTGATGTTGCCGTTCTGTCTTACTTTGTTAAGTAAAAAAATTACTTGCTGTCTTCCCTGAGGAAAGCCTAAGGGTAATAGGAGAGGCAAATGCATCTGTCTATTTGAGGATAATAGTCCTATATGAGCAACTGAACTGTTTTTTTTTTCCCTGAAATAAAGTTACAGTTAAGTTACTATATTTTAGATATATTTTATTATGAATGCAATTATTACATTAATGTAGTAAGACTTGTACTCTAATATGGTGCTACAAATATTATACAGGTGCTCTCCAAGTTTAGATGTGTATAAAACTGTGCAGCTCTATGAAGTAGGCAAAATGGTCTGCATATTTTGACATTCCTAATCTGCTAGCCTGCCAGCGCTGGCAAGACCTGCTCCCAGGCAGCTTTTACATGAATGTTGGTGGTTAGGTATGAAGCCACCTTTCTTTACTAGTCTGATGCTACAGTAATCTACATCTTCTCTGAAAGAATGGARTTTGAACAAAGACGCAGAGTTATCCAAGTTGGAGAAAACTCACAAGTGAATTTTGAATGTTATTTGATAATTCTGTYGACTCACAACTGTGTTATACTTGTAAGATGGCATTAGGGAGAGAAAACCCCTGTTGCTCGTGCAGTGTATATGTTGTAATACCTAAAAACATGAGTGATGGAGAAAGAACCCTGTTCTTTGCGAAAGGGAGAGTGATAATTTTAGCCCTCTAGTTTTGTTCATGAAACTAAATAATGTGSAAGAATTGTTTGAAAAAGTTTGGTGAATTTTTATATGAGTTGCATTGCAAGTGGAAGAGGGACTGATAGATGTTAAATTACCTAGAATTAGTTTAGCACTAGACTGTAGCTTGAATTTAAAGAAGGTTCAGTGTTGCATCCTTACACGAGGGCTTCAGGTGTTGAAGGCCAAGGTGCACTGGGGCTGAGCACTGTTCAGCAGCCAAATGTGCCACGCTAGCACTTATATTTATTGAGGCTGGTAGGGCTGGGCAGCTGCCTTTGTCAGGAAGATCAAAATGAAGAGTAGGAGGAAGATGGAGTCTGTCCTGAGGGGCAGGAGGAGGCATCTGTCCTATTTTTTTTTTTTTATGGAAGCAGGTGACTACATGCAAGAATACACCTAAACTTTTCTCTTGGGGCCCCCTGGTGCTACTAACTGGATTGTGTTGACATAGTTGATAGGGACTGATAATACTGCTGATAGGAGTTCCTTTATTTGTAAAGTTATTGTTTAAGCTGGTTCAGCTAAGTATGGAGGATGTGTTGTAGCATATGGTCCACTTTTTTACCTTGGGGGCTGTTGGTGATAATAATTTTGGATTTTCACAGTGATATGTGTGTGTTAAAATTTATGGATGCTGTAAACACAGCTGTAATGGTGAAACAGGCTCTTGAGTTAAGCAGTTTTAATTGCTGAAAGTTTGTGATGAGACAAAGAGATACATGAGACTTTCGGGAGTTTCTTGGATGGTTGAAAGTAGGGAACCAAATTATGCTCAAGGATTAACCTTGTTTGTTTGATCTTGGAATAATCTGTTAAGACTCATCTGTTTAGCGAAATGTTTGGTTGTTCAGATAAAACCTGTCTTTTTCTGAAAGTTCTAGGCTTTAAAGAACTTCACACAATCTTAAAATAATGCAAAGATGAATTTGAGTTCATTGCTGTTAATGCAACAAAATTGAATGCACTTGATAATCTAGAGCTACTTGCTTGTAGATGGACACATCTGCTCTCTGCAAACATCAGAGACAATAGGCAGTTTTTTATTTTAAGTGATAGTTATTCAGGAATAGGAGCCTCCTTCTCCCCCTTTGGGCAGGAGTATTTATAGTACTTTAAGGCCTTTCTCTCTCAATACTGTAGTTGAATGAGCGTCTCTGCCAGCTGGYAATGTTAAAACTAGGGGCTGAGTTCTTGAGTATTGAATCTTTCTTTTTCCTTTCCCCCCCAGCAGGATATAGTACTACAAAACAGCTTTAACATCAGCTATGCAGAACTCGGATAATACAGAGGAAGAAAAGACTGTGACTAATGACAACGCAAACCACGCGGACAACACAAACAGTGCAGGCAATGCAAGCCACGCAGACAATACAGACAATGCAGACAACACAAACAACGCAAACAAAGCCGAAAATACAGAAAATACAGTAAATACAGAAAATACAGTAAATACAGAAAATACAGTAAATACAGTAAATACAGAAAATACAGTAAATACAGACAGTGCAAACAATACAGACAATGCAGACAACGCAGGTAATGGCGCTGAGACCACAACAGAAGAGCAGAATATGGACTTCAGTACAGAAATTATGAGTGTGACAGAGATGGAACAGTCACCTGATAGTTCTGCTGACTTGAATGATGAGAACACACAGGAGGGTGATTATGAAGGTTTACAGCTTGGAGATTATGAGTCTTGTTTCCCTCTAGATTTTGAAAAGTTCTGGAAAGTAGTAGAGGACAATCCCCAGGATTTCACAGGATGGGTATATCTGCTACAGTATGTAGAGCAAGAGGTTAGTATATACTTCCTTTTACCCTCAGCCTTCCAGACGCAAGCAGTTRAAAGTAAACATTTGTGGATATTCCACTAATAAATCTCCAACTTCAGATCTGCTCTTCTTAGATACAGTTTTCAGACAGCAGCAGCACTTAACAGTGCTTAATGGACAGCACACGTCAGCAGAGTTCACAAAGTAAAAACAGTATTTAAGACAAAGTCAAAGCAGTATTTATTTTGAAAGCATTAATATTGGAGAGCTTTTGTCTCTTACAAAAAAAATGTTCTTGTTTGTAAAAACAAACCTTTGCAGTTGGTCTTGTGCTTAGATTATAACCCTTCTAGAAAAAATACTGTTGCCTGTTGTTAATGGTGATGTTTTGCACTTCAAATTTTTTGGTAGTAAATAATCAGCAATAACACAAATGTGGAAGTCTCACTGTGTTTTAAAAAGGTAGTTGTTTTTACAAGTTAAGAATATTTTTTCTGTGTTTTTCCATKACCTACATTAGAATTATGCATATGCTGATATTTACCGATGTTACTGAAACTCTGAGCTAACCGTTTAATTAATTTAAATGGTTTTAAAGAAATGTCAAAGGCTTCAGTATGACAGCCTGCAAATTGGAGGCTGGGAGTTCAACCAGCTCATTCAGCTTCTCAAGATTCTTACTTATTTGTACTTGGGCATGTTCAAATTAAACAGAACTTGTTAGGTGTGTTTGTTGTATTATCATTTTAGCTTTTGAGTAAGAGTAAGACTGATTTACGCTACTTGCATTTTGTTAGTATCATTTGCATGAAAGCAGACAAAAATCAGTGACTTTTCATAGGAGATGTAACTAAGCTGTGCAACTCCTTGCTSCAGAATATGTCAGTAAAGAAATTTACATGGGTTGTCAATGATCAACAGGACAAATTAATGGGAAAAAAAAGTGGAAGGCAATAATATAAAATACTGTGTCTGGGGAAATTCCTCAGCAGCAGCAAATTTTCTGGCTAGGAAATTTTCTGAGGAAGGTTTGCTGTATTTTTGTCCTGCTGTTATTCTTCCTGTAGTCCTCTGCCTGTTTGTTGCCCCTTGGGGCAGTTTACTGGATAAGATGGACCGTTGGTCAGATTGCACATTGTTCTCTGAGAAGAAAGCTGTATCTCTCTAGTTTTGTTCTTTAAACTGCTCCTTGAAACACTTCATTAGTTTTTATTGTTTATTTCCCACAGAACCATATACCAGCTGCCAGGAAAGCGTTTGACAAGTTTTTCACTCATTATCCATATTGCTATGGATACTGGAAAAAGTATGCAGACCTTGAAAAGCGAAACGACAAYTTCAAGCAATCTGATGAGGTATGTAGGTAGCTGGATGTAGCTGTTGCCGTTGGTCCTGTTAGCCAAACAATGACTAACCTACTGCAAGTCATTTGGCTGCCAGACCCTACCGTATATGGTCAGATTTATAGGGATTTTGTTTGCACTTGTCACTTCTGTGGCATTTGTAGCTAATGTTTTCTCTCTTTGTTGGCAGGTGCGTTAAACCTCTACAGTTTGTCAAGTTTTGCAGTGCAAGCCTCTGTATTACACTGCAGCTTAAAAAGTAGGGCAGGGCTTTTCTGTCACTTACATTTATTACTCGTTTTCAAAACAATATAGTTGGTTTGCTGGTCACAATTGCTACATCTTATTGCATTTTTGGTCAGACGCTGTCAATGATGCTCTAATGGGTCTGTGCCCTATGGTCTGTACCCCAAAGCCTGCCCACACAACCTGGTCAGAATGCAGGGACCGCTGCGCTTTGAAGATCAAGACTCTGCACGTGGAGATCAGAACATTGCCATGTTCTATCCAACCTCCACCCAAATGGTAATGGTAGATTATTTAAACAAAATTCCAGTAATTAGTATTTCTAAGGTTCACCGGATAACACAGTGTTGCCTCTCTATTAGGACACCATTAAGTACTTGAAGTACAGTTTGTGTTCTCTTCATAGGTTTATCGCAGAGGGCTTCAGGCAATTCCTCTGAGTGTTGATCTTTGGATACACTATATAAACTTCTTAAAAGAGACCTTGGACTGTGATGATCCTGAAACTGTCACTGCTCTAAGAGGGTAAGTTGAAAGCAAACGAAGTGATGCAGGAAACGCATAAAATTATATAGAAGTTCAGTCAGATGAATAGGCATAAGCTAAAGGGCAGTCTMATAGCAGCCTGCAGTTATTTAAGAGCTTTTACAAGCTCAGTAGAGGTAGAAGGCATAATGCATATAAGGATCACAAATAGTGGATTAGGAGGTTGAGACTAAGCATCAAGACATTCTAGGTTAAGCTCTGGGAGAGTAAGCACTGGAACAGGTTACTTGGAGAAATCTGGGAATTCCCTTTCTTGGAGGCTTTTAAGGTGCAAACAGAGCATGTCTGACCTAACCAATTGCTGTTGGTGGTCCTGCCTTGAGTAAGGGGTTGGACTGAAGTTTAACCCAAAACTCTACTTGAACTAAATCAAAGCAGCTTGTAGCTGCATCGTTGATGTGTGGTTTTTTACTAGTAGCAACTAAACTAGTTGTTTGAAAAGTTTCTTACAGTAATTTTTCAGCCTTAAGGGTTCTGTCTTTTGGTAGTGTCTTGCATTCCKGCATGTGGCACTTTGTGTTATCTTTGTTCACTTTGTTCTCACAGTGCTAGGCAGGAGGGAACAGAGCAAAGTTGAATTTTAGAAGTTTTGCTCTAAGTCTTTAGAAATTTGAGGAATTTAAATAATGAATTTAAGCGTGCTGCCTCATTGAAGAAGTGACYGTGAAATTACTTCCCCTTTCAGAACCTATGAACATGCAGTCTTAGCAGCTGGGACAGATTTCCGTTCTGACAGACTGTGGGAAATGTATATAAACTGGGAAAGCGAACAGGGGAACCTAAAAGAAGTGACATCGATATATGATCGTATCCTTGGAATTCCAACGCAGCTCTACAGTCATCACTTCCAGAGGTAAAGAGGAAAAAGATTTAATTTTATTAACATCTTAAGCACACTTTAACTTTTTTATCTGGATTGTAGAACTGAACACTCAGAATAGTAGCTTGAAATGTCTACTCAGATGTTCTGTCTGCAGCATGGAAGTTCATCATTTTTGAATTTCTTTTTGAAATGTGAATGTTATGAGGATCTGACAAACAGCAGAATTGCATTTTGTGCTTATATTGTCAAAAGTCACATCTTTAATTTTGCTCTACACCAATATAAAACTCCACTAGGATTTGTTACAGTGTTCTGGTTACCCAGACTATTTACTAAAGTATAAACTAATATTTATTTGTTTCTAATGATTCTTAGGTTTAAAGAACATGTACAGAACAACTTACCCCGAGACCTTCTGACTTCTGAGCAATTTATTCAGCTTCGCAAAGAACTGGCGTCTGCAAATGGCCATACCGGAGGAAATGCTGGAGATGATCTGCCCTCTGGGACTGAAGATATAACTGACCCTGCTAAGGTGCGTATGTAGTGGCTATTCCTCAGCAGTTCTTGCCTTTTTTCTGCTGCTCAGAGAAGACTTTAGTTGCAGAAAGTGCAGTGTGTTTGTAGATGAGATGTTTCTGTAGTTCTGTTGCGTATCAATGATTGTTCTTTTGCTCATGCAGTCAATGCTTGTGTGTATAGAACATCCCTTTCCAACATCTCATAGGTAGCAAAGAAATTGAATTCAAATATGAAAGCTTTTTGAATATGTATTAATCATTCTATTCTAGACTAATAGATGAACAGCTGTGGTCTAAAAAAGTCTTGTCGTTGGTAGTGGTATATGTAGATTCATACCTGAAAATATACACGTACTGAAACCAAGCTTGACTTGGATCCAAATTCATCTTGAATCTAATCAGCTTTAAGATATTTTCACTTAGAACACCTAGTCATTGATATTGCACTAAGAATAAAGGCACTATCAGGGCACTGTCCCTCACCCATCTGTACTGTCTTTGTTTTTTTAAATGTATGCGTGTAATTGTCATCATACAGCACATTTACAAAACTGATAATTACATTTTCTTTAAAAATTATGTTTTAGCTTGTCACTGAAATTGAAAACATGAGGCACAGAATCATTGAGATTCATCAGGAGATGTTCAATCACAATGAACATGAAGTCAGCAAAAGGTGGACGTTTGAAGAAGGGGTAAGTTTGTGTATTTGAATGCAAGGCAGCATGCWTTGGAGTCTTGAACAGCACTGTCTTGAACTAAGAATTCTGAGTAACAGTTAAAGCTTTCCCATCTCAAGGGGCTTTCAACAAGGATCTAGTTCCACGCTTCTGCCCTTTTCCCTGTGGAAAGGTAACCTGTGAGGTGAGTTCTCACATCTGAGGATTTTGAAGCAGTAGTTAGAGGCAAAGTGATGCAACAGTACATTTATTAAGCAACTTTTAAATACATGTGCTTAAAAGATGGTGCACGACCATACCGCTTCATGTAGCTGCAGTGTTACCGGGTCGGTAATGAGAAGAAGGCAATGCTGATCCAAAAGGTAAGCCCACCCTGAACGAGGAATGCAAAGCGATTCGTATGCATGTGTGTATTGTTGTATTAGACTGTTGCATCCAAAATCAGCTAGCATTTGCATTTTTCCAGTTTTACATAAGCAGAACACTCCTACATATAATGTTGAAATTGACTTATTATTTCATCAAGACAAAAAAAACATTTTTCTGTGTAAAATTAAACTCAGTTACTGTTGAAACAGCAACATGATTTTTTTTTCCCGATCTGAAGCCTAAATGCAGTACAGGAGGCCAGAACTTCATTGTGTTTCTTACTGCACTTTGTTAGTGTAGGCCTGGTGCCTTATAAGCCAAGGGAACTCAAAACTTAGTATGTGGCCRGCATTAGTACCATAGACTAGTGCGTAGTTTGACTAATGAAAGTGCCTTTTTCTTGATGCATAACAGCCTAAAGAGCTGTTACCAGTTCTTCACATTTCAGGGACACTTTGCACTGAATGTCTAGCCTAGAGTGAAGTAAAGCATGCAAAGTATGGATGATGAGGGCTCAGCTATGCTGATGTGTAGTGCAAAATGATTATGTGAGTAAAGCGGTTAAAGCAACTCTTAAGTTTAAGTATCTGTAGTTGAGTAATGATAAACTATGGACACGTAGCAGAAAATGTATCAGAAACAGGGTAACCGCTATTGCTAGTTGCCAGTAACGGTGCCTGCTCCACCAGGAGAGTTGTGGCTGCTCAGTAGACGCCCACATGTTGGATATCTAAGGAGACTGGAATGTAAAGTTAAACCTGTTTTTATAATGGACTAAATGTAAGTAGATACATGGCAGATGCCTAAAGTAAGTAATGGTGGACACTTAGACCTGCTTTGCTTCCACTTCAACAGCAACAAGATACCTATGAAATTACCAAAATGGAGGCAGAAATAATGCATTCCCTAACAGAATTCACTGAGGAACACGAAGGGGATGATGGGTTTTATATTTCAAGTAGTCATGAATCACTGCCTCTTCCTCCATAATTATTATTATATCTTATTTTGATGATTATACTGATGTTTCTGACATGATAGCAGTACAACAACAACAACAAAAAAAAAAAAAACAGAAAAATTAAAGATGAGAGGGGGAAAAAAACAAGAGAGGTGGAGGGATGCTTTACTGCATTTAGTTCAGAGCAGATTTTACAATTTTCTTATCTGCCCCTTCCAACTCCTTTTGTCATCAGCACTGAAATGCAAACTTGCCAACTATTGAATAATCAACTTAATGTAAACATTTATGATGAAGTTCAATTAAATGCTCTGTCTTTCCTTCCCATCATTCTCAACACACTTTTAAACTTAATTTGGAGGATGTGTGTTAGTACAACAGTAAGTACTTTAGTTGCCTGTATATATGTATGTGGACAATATTGACTGTTGTTTACAATTTCTTTGTTGTCATGTTGCAACTGCAGATTTGCAAGGGAAAAACTGTTTGCKTGATTTCTTAAGTTTTGTAAATCCTTTTACTCAGAAGTTTTTTTTTACAGAAGCTATCTTAAAATGTAATTGGAAGTAACATTTCTAGAGCAATAGTTGGATGACCCAATTTGGCCTGTTTGAATAGCTAGTCAAGTCTTTTTCTGAAGTGCAGTCTGAAAAATGGTGTTCCTTGCGTGGTGTGTGGTTAATTTTACTTACTTAATCCAGTTTGGTTTTACACTTACTAGTCATGTGTTGCCATACTGTGACTCTTGCAGATAAAGAGGCCTTACTTCCACGTAAAACCTCTGGAGAAAGCTCAGCTGAAAAACTGGAAAGAATACTTAGAATTTGAGATAGAAAATGGAACTCACGAACGAGTTGTGGTCCTCTTTGAAAGATGTGTAATTTCATGTGCCCTCTATGAGGACTTCTGGATTAAGGTAAGGGAGGTAGTTTACCAATGGCCTCGTAGTGATTGCATACATTGATCTAGTGACTAACCTTTTGTACTCTTGTTGAATGTTGTTCATATATAACTATATCTGTTGCATTAGGAGATGGTCTGCTTGCAACCAGATTTGACTGCTGCATATGCCAACTTCGTTGCCTCTCTACGTCCTTCCTTACAGAAACTAGTCTAGTGGTTCAATAAAGGTGCTGAATGGGTTTAAACAAAAGAATTTTATCATTCAGTCGTGTATTAAAGACCAAAGATAAGCTGTAAAATTATATAATCTCTGCTCTGTTTTCAACTATAGTATGCCAAATACATGGAGAATCATAGTATTGAAGGAGTGAGGCATGTCTACAGCAGGGCTTGCACGATACATCTTCCTAAGAAACCATTGGTTCACATGCTGTGGGCTGCCTTTGAGGAGCAGCAGGGTAAGCAAAGATGTTTTCTCCTGGGAGGGATTCTGCTTTAAATTCACTGTCGGATGTGTCATATTTTACAGCATCTTCACTGGTATTTTAGGCAACATCAATGAGGCCAGAAGAATCTTGAAAACGTTTGAAGAGTCTATCCTAGGACTAGCAATGGTTCGCTTGCGAAGAGTAAGCTTGGAACGCAGACACGGAAACATGGAAGAAGCTGAACATCTCCTCCAAGATGCTATTAGGAGTGCCAGATCAATCAGTGAAGCGTCATTTTATGCCATCAAATTAGCTCGACATCTCTTCAAAGTACAGAAAAACCTCCCAAAAGCAAGAGAAGTGCTCTCAGAAGCCATAGAACATGACCCTGTACGTACTTCCTTATTGTTGTATAAAAGCAGACTGGGTTTTCTCATTTATCTGAATTGTGTTCTGAAATATGGCAACAATGATGACAGATGTTCTACCTGCACGTAATGTTCCATTACTGCGTGGAGACACTAGTCCCTCTAAACTGATGTTGCCATGTCTGCAGCTCACAAACCTGCGAGTTTACAGCTCCTGAATCTTTTCTCATCAGAGGCACAGGGTGCTTCTTGCTCTTATTAGTTCACTTCTAGAAACTCAAACAGCATACAGGTGCTTACATTTCAAGGCAAACAAAATGAATAAGCAATATTCTTCAATCATTTTGTATAACCAGAAGAAATATTTGTCTCTCCAGTCCTTACTACTTACCTTTCTGTAATATAAGATTGCTTTGCATTTATTTATGAAACAAATAGGGTCAGAAATGACCAATACAATAAGATCTTTGTTTTCTCTTCTGTAGCGTATATTTATGATGCAGTTCTGGTGTATAGTTTATTTAATGTTAAACATGTAACATGTCAGATGTATAAGTAGTCTTTTGTTTTCCTTCCCCTTCAGGAAAATACGAAACTTTATCTCAACTTGCTTGAAATGGAGTACAATGGAGATCTCAAGCAAAATGAAGAAAACATCTTGAGCTGTTTTGATAAAGCTGTCCATGGCGCCTTGTCTATAAAAATGAGGATTACGTTTTCTCAGCGAAAAGTAGAATTTCTTGAAGATTTTGGATCTGATGTAAACCAGTAAGTTTTGATATGTGTGGTGGTCGTATTAGTGTCAACACCGATGTGTTTTCAAAAGAGATTGGGGAGAGACCGGACATGTTGTTCTGTAAATTCTGAGAACCACATCCCATTTTGTTTTAAAAAAAGTTCTTTTCAGAAAATGAATCCCTTTTTCTCTGAAGTACTTAACTCTATAGATCAAAATTGTTTACTCTTAACCTTTTCATAAAATTTTCACTTGCTTAGTTTTATAAAAGAGGGTGCTTTGCAGAGAGGAAATGTTTTGTGATACAGATAAAATTTTATTCTTAAATAACCTCAGAGCTGCTGCTTGAATTCCCAAACTTACGTTGACTTTGCTAATGTTTCTAAACAAAAGGGGGGAAATAAAAAGGAACTTTTGTTCGTGAAGATCATGTCCTAGACATGCAACTTATTAATCAAATACCAGATATGCTGTTTTTCCTCTTTTAGTTCCCTGTTGTAAAATAAGCACTTGTTTTCTACTTAGAATTTACAGCTGATTTTCTTGGAGGAAAAAAAAAAGTGAATTAGTTTTGTATTTTTAGGAATAGCTGTCTATAATTTCTGCTTACCTTTAAAATACTAACTTGCATGCTGGTCAGGCATGTCATTTGGGAATCATAAGCAGACCAAATGAAATGATGTTTTAAGTTCCCAAAAAGTCCAGATGATAGAACTAGCTGTTCATTTAGAAAAAGTGAATATTGTGTTTACCTGAATAAGAATTGAGTTTTCATTTGATGCTCTGTAAATTGCAAGATGTGACAACAAAAAAAAAAAAAAAAAAACCCAAACAAAAAAACCAGGTATTCTAGTTCAAAAATGCAAGTGCTATTAATATGAGTAATAATATGGCTCTTTTATGTTGTATTGAATTTATTGTGATGTTTGGGAAAAGCCTGTAGGCTTTGGAATTGTTTTAAYTTTGTAAAATACTCCTTTCTGGTGTTTGAATGAATGTATATTCTGAACATGAGTGCTGCTGTGGGCAGCATCAGCAGCTACACTGCCTAATACAGCCCTTGCTGGGAGAAACTGCTGTGTCATAATTCCTATGAAAGTTCTCATAAAGTAACGTTAGGAAACAACCACATTAGGAAGGCCAGAAGTTTAGCAAGTTGGGGATTTCTGAGCTAGCAGTTCTAATAAAATTTATCTTTATGCAGTGCTGAATTTCCTTCCAAATAGTAGTGGTTTTGGCTTTCATATATTTATCAGTCTAACTTGGATATTTGAATTTTGGTTATAATTGAGTTTTATTTAAAATGTTTTTATATTTTTACAAATTGAAAGACATTTTTAAATGGTTGCTCGGGTGTTCAAAATGTTTACATGGTAATTGTGAGCCAAGGTATAATTTATTTTGTTTCCTTTAGGCTTTTGGATGCTTATGATGAACATCAGGCACTTCTACAGGAGCAGGATTCTTTGAAAAGGAAAGCAGAGAATGGGTAGGAATATTTTTCCACATGAAATTTTAAACTAACACAGTGGGTTAGGTTATATCGTCAGTGGGAACATGTATTATACTGGACTGTGTCTGATGCAAAGAGTTAGGGAAATGCTTGAAAAACAGATCAGAGAGTGATCATGAGAGACTGTTTTCTAGGACCTGTGAAAGGGAGAGGGATGGGTACAGAAGTTAAGGGACACTTTTCTTAAAGTACTCAAAGTTCATCAGTTCTTATAATGACTGTAGTCAGTCTTCTCTACATGTGAAAACCAGAATCATTAAACACTTCATGATTACAGTGATCCTGAACTTTTTTTGTGTCTGACGTAAAGTGTTTAAGTGAGTTAAGTGCTATTATCAAACATATAAAAAAGGAATAGCTGTTGGACCTCATATCAGGTACAATTCTGTAAGGTGTGTGCTTATTTCAGGCATAGGAATAACTGCATTTTTAAGTTTCAAGCTTTTGGAGGGTTTAATGCGTGCCAGCTTGTTGAGGGTGTTTAAAACGAAGAGCCAGAATCATTCCCTTACAGATCATGATTTAGATCATGATTCATGATTTAGCATGGACTAGCAGAACAAGGAGGGGAACATAGATGAAATAGAAATGAGGACTTTCAAATGTAGAGTTTTAATTCCTACAAAGAAACACATTGTTTTAAACTACCCCAAATGCAGCAGCTAGGACTGAACCATTTTTAAACAAGGTTTGGAAGCCCACGGCAGGAGGTGGGCAATAAACCTGCYCCTGATGCTCCTGTGCCCTTGCCAGGGCACTGAGGCACGCGCTGCCACGGCAGAAACCCCGCGGGCGCCTCGYGCACACCCAGGCTGAACAGAGCGGCCCTTCAGCCTTAACCGCCCCGTAGAACCGTCCTGTAGAACAGCTGTGTATGTGCCTGATTAAAGCTAAGCAAGAAAGGGCTCCTTAGGAAATTGCTTCTGAAAGCTTAACGTGGGCAAATTGGTTTTCTTCAGTCTTCTGGGAGGGATTATTTGGGCAACTTTTGTTCTGTCTGATGGCTTGAACAGACCTGACTTCTGATGGTCCTTAACCCTTCATGCTTCTAGTTAGCACCGCAAGAACAGCAGCACGTTTGTTTCTTTTGTTTTTTCATAATTTAAGAGCCTACCCCAGGTAGGAGTGGGCTTAAATAGACTGGCTTAAATAACCACAACCAAACTTAAATAATAAAATATCATTTTAACTTTTGTATCATAGAATCAGTAGATAATATTGCTAAAAATAACTGTCTCTGAAACAGGCTTGTGTTGATGGTCCAGGTTTAGGCACTGTAACAATGTATAAATGAGACCATTGTTCTGAAGCACCAAGCACGGTCTTTCTCTAAATCTATTTTCCTGTTTGGAAAGGTCACCAGTTTTGAAAATACTGCTTACCTTTGTCAGTGTATCAGCAGTAAGTGTAACAAAGACAGCTTTATTTATTTACAAGCATTATATTAATTTTGCAGAGCGGAGGAGCCAGATGAGAAAAAGATGCACCCAGACGACCCGGCCTTGGCAGCGCAGATGATGGATGGAGACATGCAGGTCAACCAGGCCGCGTACAACTACAACGCCTGGTACCAGGTGGGTGCGCTCTCCCCGCTTCCTCCCACACGTGCGTGCTGGTGAATATCTGTAAATGGTTTTCTCAGCATCAGTCTTCTGTCTTTGGCCAAGGGTTAGCTGGAAAGGAAAGCTTGCAGGGAATCTTAGCTTCTGTTTTTGTTGTCCTTCTATGTAAATTTATAAAAATCTCCATATAGTCTGGAGAATGATTGAGAGATTGTTGTGGCTGGCCCTGCCCTTGATGTAAAAGGCAGCATAGCAGCAATTAAGTTCATTATTGGCTAAGGGCAGTAGACCTGTTTTGCACTGAAACTTCTTACCCAGGAAAGTCACCTTGGGAGGCCAGTTTGCTAAGTGTTTTCTTAGTTATTTCTTGGCAGTCTTAGTTCCTGTCACATCAGCATGGATTCTGCTGCACTGGTACATCCTGCATGCAGGGTCAGCGCGTGAAATAGCTTCTCACAGACTCACACAATGGTTGAGGTTGGAAGGGACTCCTAGAAATCATCTAGACCAACCTCCTGCTCCAGCAGGGACACCCGGAGCAYGATTTGGGCTCTTGCAGGCAGTTTGATTTTGCCCTCTAGAGGGTCTTMAAGGTAGAATCTGTAATCAAAGGGTTTCCTTTAGTGCTGCAGAAGGTTTCCTTGCCCTTGAGTTAACACAGTTTGTTTGAGGACAGTCGTTTTTTGTATCCTGGCCTGAACAGGGGGCAGGTCATAAGCTGTGAGCTTCAGCGTCTGTCCTTTCTGCAGGCAGYTGGTGCTGTTCAGGGTGGGCTCTCCTGGTGCCCCTCAGCTCAGTACAGGTACCGTGTGCTCSGAGCTCCCTCCATGCTGCTTGGGGGTTACTGTGTTAACTGAGGGGTTTGCGTTTAGCCTGGAAGGAGCTGGGAACCTCATCTTACCAGGGAATTGCCAGGTGACAGAAAYTGTCAGCTCTGTGGCCCTGTTTGAGCCTTCTGTCCCACAGAGGAATGTTCATTCCGAAGCCAGGCAGTGAAGGGTGTCTCACCCGGCATGGGGAGCTCCACTCAGTATTAGGCCACAAAAAATGCCAGAAACTTTCCAAACCCCGAGGCACAAGAGCAATAAAGTTACACTGTTCTGAAGATCTCAGTCCTGTGGCTGAACGGCTGATGCCAGCACGGGATGCCTTCCACCCGTGGCAGAGTCTGCTTCAGCGTGGCAGACACCACGGAAGCTCCGAGGAAGGGGGGCACTTGCTCCTGTCACCCCCAGGCCCTGGTGCTAGTTCCCACCTTCGCCTCTGTGAGCACTGGGGCTGCTGGTGCCGCCTGCAGCGCCGCAGCACCCGGGGGTGCCCCGCGCAGCTGCAGAGCTGCCATGTGAGGGGAGCAGCATCGGGCGCTGCAGGGCGCTCCCCTCCTCTGCTGTCTGCTGCAGCGCTGCACAGGGAGCTGGTACGTGGAGCCCCCACGGGCACAGCGCCCCTCTGTTCTTCCTCCTCTCCTGACCTTCTGTGAGGAGGAGCTGCAGGGGAGGAACCAAAGGAGGAGTTGGAGGAATGACACTGGAGCCCTGACAGGCCCCCGATTWGAAGGCAGGCTCCTGCCAGGCGTGTTTCTGAAGCACTGAGCAGCATAGGCAACAAGAGCCTTCATGTAAAACATCTGACTGTTGACTTGTGACTGAATCAGGTGGCAGTTCTGCTGCGGTAACAAAACTACTGATTTTCAGAGCATCTTGGCACTTCAGAGCTCCTGCTGCTCGCTGTGTTTGAAGCGCACGGCAACACTGCAGTGCTCTGCCCGTGGGCTCACATGAAGGCAGATGCAGGCAAAGCCGGGGGGAAGAGGTGCCACCATGGGGCACTGTGAGGTGCCAGAGGGAGACAGTGACRCTGCCAGCGTGCAGAGAGCTGTTAAAATCACAACAGGGCGGAGTGACAGGCGCCTTTTGGAACAACAGTTCTTCAGCTCTCCTTCCTTGCAGGGCTTCGCACTCACCTTCTCTTGTATCCCTTTTCTTTCTAGTATAACTACCAGAACGCGTGGAATTACGGACAGTATTATCCTCCTCCTTGATCAGAGCAGCAAGCGGAGTTCACTGTGCCGTTTCAACAAAGAGGGAGTAAAAATATATATTTTTCTAAATTAGGGATGTGAAAGAACTGTTGTAATACTGATTTGGTCTTTTGCATGTGAAATGAGCTGATGTTCACAGGGTGTGTGTGAAGCAAGATTCATGTGTTGGTAACTGATAAATGGTATCTCTGTACACTGCTAGTTTACCATAAATGCATTTCTTTATTTCTCTGCACTAACTTATGGAGATATTATTTGAAGACTTTTTTTTTTTTTTTTTTGCTGTTTCATGATGATTCTGTAAACTTTAAAAGAACAAAAAAACCCAGTAAATCCATAGCCTTTTGCAAGCCTTGCTGGGAGTGGGGTTAGCGCAGGGGCCGGGCGCAGCTGCCGCGCAGCCCTCCTGCCCTGCTCTCCTCTCCAACCAAAAACTCACAACCTGCTTCTATCATGAGACTTTTGTTTTTTCTTTTCCCATGCCCCAGTGAGCAAAGCCCAGACCGCTGTTTATATTGTCATGATTGGAATTGTTCAGATGAAGAGGGCAGCCTTTGTGAGCTGTGATATGTATTTTCTATTTTATGTGGGGGTCAGAAATTAAAATGCAGTGCAAAATAATGTTGCATTCTTTTTTAAAAAAGCACAAACTGTGTTTGGGAAGGATTTTGTAACTAGAGTTTTTCATGTACACAGTGTGAGCAAACTTTTTCATTTTGATCAAAGTGATCATTCTCATTTTCGTAATAAAAGCAAGGAATTCGGTAGTTCTTTGAGCCTTCTTGGATTTTCTCATTCTAGCTGAAGCTAAGCTGGAGTCTCAGGTCAGCAGCTGTTTCTCTTCTGTTCATGCTGGGTTCAGATACAGCTCCGGCCGGACACAAAAGGTCTTTAAGGGAGAGGGCAGCAGCACCAGCCCTGAGGGCGGGTGGGGGGCAGCCTTTCATGTGAGCAGTACTTTACACATCTSTGTCCTCATCATTCCTTCTTCACTGGTGCCTCCTGCCCTCCTCTAATACTCCATATCTAGCTCAATTTGTTAGGGTGCTGTTGTGGTAAAATGCAGGAGCTACACGAGCTGAAAGAAATGGGAATGACCAAAGACCTGAGCTAAATATAGAAGCAACAATACACACACCTATATACTTTTTTTTTTTTTTTACTACACACCCCCAGGTCCAGCAGGGATACTAAACATCACCCCGGGAAGTTCAAGACAGGTCTGTTTTCACTTGAAGRGGTTCCTGCAATCTTAGGCACCTTCTTCCCCCCAGTGAGCTGCTAGACAAAAACAAGTCAAAGCCTCTGCACGTATAAACTATGTTTCTTTAGTGGTATCTTACTGTACAGCAGTTGAGGAGAAAAAAAACACTTGATTTCAATACAAGGCCACAGTTGTAACTATATCCTGAAGTTACAAGAGCAAAACTGCAGTTGTTGGAAGCTTTCTTGCTCATAATGGATTCCCAGCAGCAAAGAAAAGTCTTCATTTCACTTGGTAGCTGCCAGTTTTACTTTCTTGCTCATAAAGGATTCCCAGCAGCAGAGAAAATCTTCATTTCACTCAATATCCACCAATTCCACTTCAAAGAAAAGTTTGGCATTTGGCGGTATCCTGTTTGCATGAGTTAAGGAAGCTTTTAAAAAACAGGAGAGGTTGGTTTATAAATCAAGGTTAAAGGCCTTGGCACCTGTTCTGTTTCTCAAGTGTCAGTTTTACATTTCACTGCCCCCTTTTAGCATCCCCTATTTAGTCTGTAACAACAGCTGCTGTCTGACACGAGCGGGCGGAAGAGACATTCACTACCAGGTCTAAGGAACTGTTCTCACTATTCTACTTAAGAGGAACAGCTKAGTTTTAAATTAACTACTTAAGAGTTGTGTCCCTTTTTGGGGCACTGTCCCTGGTCTTTATCTTCTATTTGTCTAGAATATCTTACTGAAGAYGAACATTGACGTGGCACCATTTTTCTTTTTTAGACAACTCTCTACATTATCAGCAGGGCCTATAATAGCAGGAGAGGAAATTCCCTTTCCCTCCTCCTGAAATTCAGAGGACAGCAGGGTGTTTCACAGGGACAGGGCAATCCCGTGCTCTTCCCTTTGTGCTGTGGGAATAAGCAGTGAGAAGCTGCTGGAAGGCAGTAGGCCGGCAGCCCTCGGRGGAAAGCGATCCCTGTTCTGCAGCACCTGAGAGCCGGGGCGCAGCGCATCCCTGGGTAAGGTCCGGGCCATYTTCAAACATCCTCAAGCACCCAAAGGTGCCATAGGCTGCAAGGAGCGGCGCCCCTTCATGTTGCTCCCTGCGCTCCAGCTCACCGGGCCCCGCATTCCTGGGTTACTTAAAATAGGGAGCAATGGATGGTGAAAGGATACTTAGCRTCAGGCTGCCCTTTCTTGCCATAAGCCCATTCAGGTTCTATTTCCAGCTGAGCTTTCTCTCCTTTACTCATCGTCAAGAGAGCTTCATCCCACTGAAAAACAAGACAAGAATCTCAATGTCATGACAAGTGCATTTACAGGCTTGCACAGGCAGGAACAGGGTGGGAAATGATGCTTAATTCTCCTCTGCTGGGACACCCATCCCCGAGAATACACTGGGAGGGAGCTGCTCACACGCTTTTTACATGTGGAAATATTCACCCCTGTCTCATGGTCCGCATTACCAAGTTAGTCTTGACTGTACAGAGAGCAATGACACTGCAGGTGATGAACACGGCTGTGAAAATACCTCATCCTGCCGAGGCTAAAGCTTTCAAGCTGCCTTCTTACTCCCCCCCGCAACAAACAAGAACAGCAGCCCTAAATGYGCATCCCACTGATAAACCGCACACTGAGGAACCCCTTGTGTTTTGAGGGAGTCGCCAAGGCCTTCCTTACCCCTCTGATAACTTTTCCTATGCCAACTTTGAAACTTAAAGGCTTGGCTGCTTTCTTCTTCTTGGAACCTGAAAGACAGTTTTACGTTCATTCATTTTAACRTCATACCAGCAGATACTGCACTTCCATCTAAAATTACTACTAAGATTACGCTTTACATAAGGCTCTGCTTTTATAGTATTTATAGCACGTATGGATTGCCTAATGGTTCCTGTTGTWCATTCCTTCACTCAAACTACCAGCTCATGGGGTGAAAATTCGGTGCCCCGGGGCAGGCAGCCCCACGGCCCGGCGCCCCGCGGCCCTTACCCGTTTGCACGTTGGTATCGAAGACGGTCCCGTCCTGCAGCTTCCCCGTGTACCAGCAGTGGACAGTGTCCCCCTTCTTGGGGAAGTTGGTCTTGTCGCCCTTCTTCAGGACGGACTTGGTGTATCTGGGCGGGCCCTGCGTTCGAGGGGGAGCCGGGGTCGCCGCCCGCCCGCCGAGCCGCGGCGGGGGCTGCGGGCGCGACGCCTCCTACCTCCTCGGCGGCCGCCTCGGCCTTGGCCGCCTTCTCCTTGGCCTCCTCGGCGCGCGGCTTCGGCTTCTCGGCCTCGCGCTCGGC